GTGAGCGTGCCACATTCTTTTGGCAGGACACGAAGCAGCAGCGTAAAAAACTGATGGAATAACACAGCACGTGACAATTGCGTCAACAGATTTTTCGCTGAGATGAGCACAAAATTGTTAGCAAAAAACGTTGTAAAAAAACGTGAGCAGAGAATGGTCTCAGCTGTGGGAGGTGGAAGGAGGAAAGTGGGTGTGGCATGTGACAGCTGGAGGGTGTGGGAATGGGGTTGCGTTATGGCCAGGGGCCCCAGACTGCTGCTGGTCCTCCTACCGTTTGCTGTTGCTGTAGTCGTTGACAATATTTATGCACCAGCAGCAGCAGCAGCAGCAACAACAGCAGTGCTGCCCGGCACCCCATCAGCGGAGGAATGGAAGGGGAAGCCGGATGGCATCCAACAGGAGTCTGAGCTTGTGGTGTTGTCTGTTCCACTGTTTGTTTTTCCATTTTCATACATTTTACAGCTTTTGTTTTATAATTTGGAGCCGCAAGGCGACAAACTCGAGAAGCCCAAAAACAAAGAGAATTATGAAAAAATCGAGCAAAACAAATAAACGAGATTATAGGAGTTCATTCGAATGGGAGATACCCAGCAACTGTAATGGATTCTCAATGTGCAGAAGTTTGAAGTTTATGCAGAAGGAATAATTTTCTTGTTTAACTTTGGATCCCCTAAAACGGAATGGATTCCTTCTATAATCATTCGTATATAATTCCTTACCCTACAAATATTGTTCTTTACAATCAACGGACACTCAAACCCAATATACTCCCACTTGCAGTGCTTACAGGGCATCAGGCAAACTCTCCACCGATCGAACAGCACTTGATGAAGTCTGTTGTTGTTGCTGTGGCTGGTGCTGGTGCTGGTGCTGGTTCTGTCGCTGTTGCTGCTCCTGCTGCTGTGTGTGTCCTGTGGCTGTTTCCGCTTCCTCTTCTGCGCCAGCGAAAAACTCGAAGCTGCGGTAGGTTGCTCCTGGTATTGGTCCTACTCCTGCTTACGTATGGCTCTGGCTCTGGCTAAGGTGGTTTTGTTACATTTGGGGGAGGCGGGCACGGGCCCACAGTACCGCAGTACGTGACGAAGAACAAAAGAAGGCACTTGGGCACTTGCATGTTTCCGGCCAGAGAGAGAGAGAGAGAGATGGTCCTTGTGCTTCTGTTTTTTTTTTTACAAAACTTACTTGCTGCTGCTGCTTTTGTTGTATCCACAAAAAAGCACGCTTATGATAATAATGACATTATGTATGGTATATGTATACATATGTACATATACTCTATGTAATACATACAAAATGTTGACAGCCGCAGTCCTTTTTTGCTGCACAAACTTCTCTAACGAGCTGAGGCCAGAGGATTTGGATTTGGCTTTGGCCTCAAGAGGTGGAATTATATATTTAATTTGGTCAAATTTTCGTGCAGGATTTGTAGCTGAATCTTCATGGACCGAATCACTGGAAAGACTTTATGCTGCTTTATGGTTTATAATCCCTTTCTACTTTCCAATGGCAGGTTATTGTTATTATTTTTATTTTAGATTATTTTGCCATGTGCAAATATTGACTTTGCGTATTTGTGAAAAATATTTGAAAACCATGGAAAATGATGGCTATTTATTTATATAAAATTTTAAACAAACGTTAAACCAAAAACAAACAAAATTCAATGGTAGCAAGCAAAATCAACAAACGAAAAATGAGCAGGGAAGAGTCAGAAGAAGGCAGGTAGCAATATCCTCTATAGAGATGGGAATGGCATGGACTGGGCAGGGGATCGCAGCTGGTGGGCGTTACTAATGTGTGAGCCAAAAAGCAAACAATTTGCATTTTCCACTAATGAAAAAATAATATTTATATGCCACACAAAAATATTGCATTGGAAATGGAAGGAGTGGAAGGCACGAAAAGTGATCAAAAAATGATCAGAGAATACGAAAACCATCTGGAAATGCTTGGGATTAGATGATTTCTTTTTGAGGGAAAGAAACTCTAAGAAACCACACATATAAATCCCAGTAGTTCCTACCCTGCCCAACCAATTGGTGCAACATAAAGTTCAACAACTAAACACACCCCCATTAATGCTCCCATTACAAATTAACACTCCATAAATATTATATACCACATTCTTAAGTGGCACATAATCCCAAGTGCGTATGCTCCCCTCCACTCCACTCCATCCCTGGCCCCATGAACATGAGCGATCTCCAGATGGATGCAAACAGGAAGCTAATCCTGCTCAGTGATATATCAACATATTTATGGTAAACGGGATCAGAGGGCTTGGGGCGCACCAATTTGGGAGCCCAGTCAGTGGTTGAGCCATATGTTCCAGTTGATATTTATAGTTTCTGAATGCTCGGTTGTCGGAGAGACAAACCGCAAAAACTCCATAACATTTAATGAACACTTTTTCGACAATCCCATGTGACGACCGCCGGCTGCTTAGCACTTCGCCACAGCCTTAAGTCTTTTTATGTTTAATAAACAATTATTAGACAATATATCTTTGATCTGCTCTCCGCTGGAGTGACTGACTGTAGACTCCGCTGTGGTCTGGCGGGTGTGTAAAAATAAATATCACACGGCTCTTGTTTAGATCAAAATCCGAAAATTACGCACACGAATTCCATCGAATCATAACAATAACATTGGAATCTGTATCTGTAGAGGAATCGATCAAGAGGCACCTTGACAGCCACCCTCGGAGTGGCAGTTTCCAAGCAGCCGAAGATCTATACTTTGATGTTGCACTCTTCGGTGAAGTTATTTTTTTTCTAGAGAAATTTATGTAGCGTGATTGGAACTAAGCAAAAATTTTACATTTTACTGCTGAAAAAAAGATGGATTGGGATGGGCTGGATTAAGCGCAGGAAGATAACATTTGGTTTTACAAATAAAATAAATTAAGGTTGACTTTAATCCAATCATTGTCTTCCACCAGATCCATGAAGGCGGCTCGGTAGAACCAATTCCATATTAATATTAGTAAGAACGCTTTTCAACACTATCTAAATATGATTATAGCATTACTCAACACTAAAAATAACTGGAATGTCATTCAATTTAACTGCTGTGACAGCATAAAGCAAAAGAAAAAGGCGAAAATAAAGCTTGTAATTTATAACTCGTGCTGTTCAAAATGGATTCCCGCAATTTCGTGACGTACCTGAAAGAATTCAGCGAAAAGTTGAAGCTAAATATGCCAAAATTCGAATTTGCTGTGGAACCAAATATAGTTTTTCGCTGCAAAATCAATCATCAGGGCATGTCAGGCTATGGCGTTGGTAGAGCACTCCCCCCGTTGGTGATGTTTGAGTGTCCAAAAGATTTTTAACTTCCCCACCGACAGGCCGTACAAAGAAAACAGCCGCGCACGTGGCTGCAAGACAAGTTTGGCTGCAGATACTGGTGCATCCTGCGGTGCGAGTACTGCTGCAAGAAAAGGACTTTATGCCATACATCCGCGAGGGGGACATCTACTGGGAGTTGCGCCTGCTCAAGATCAAGCAATTAAACAGTTTGCGGGAGCTGCTGCTCCTGGCATCCACTAGTGAGTCCATCGCCAGTGAATTGAACTTGCAGCTGCTAGAGAGGAGCATCCCAGAAGAGGCACCCACCACGAATGTGCGAATGGGAGACAGAGTCCTGGAGAATGTGCCCATTGTAGAGGTGCTAAGCTCAAGTTTCCAGACAACGCTCTCCCTGCCAATATTGCCAGTGAGCGGCGGATCGCATGGGTCGCAGGGCTTGTGCAGTGCATTGAGGGTTCTCCACATAACGGAAGGTTCAGAGAGTAGTCCCGTGGAAGACGTTTACAGCTCAGTGTCTTCAGATGCAAGCAGTCAAGGTTCCCCAATCTCTGAAGAAGAACAAAGAAGTGTAACGGTCGAGGAAGTACCCGAACCCAGTCCTCAGATCCACGTGAGCAGAGTCATCGAAAATGTCGCCAGTGTCGCAGAGCCAGCCAGTGCTGTAAAAGAGGAACCAGCAGATGACTTCTTTGAATTCGAGGATAAAGTTCAAAGGAAACGCAAATTCGCGACATTTCGGGAACTAATAAAAAAATACGAATACGAGACGAAGCCCATCCCAATGTGCGATCGTCACAACTATTTCAAGAACCTACCGAAGGAGCTCAAGGAGGAGGGCTTCAAAATTATTAATTCCAACACCTTTAAGACTGAGAGGGAGAAGGCCATCAGACTGCTCTACGCCTTGAAGCTGCCGCATACCATCAGTCCAGTGAAATCAATATCTGGGGCGCCACTGATTAAAGTCAAACTCGACTGCAGCTACGAGGGAATATTTTTGGATTTTGAGAGCCATATCTATGGGCACATTATTGACTTTATGAGAGATATGCTCGTTTAGGCTAAGTTAATGAAGAGTCATCTAGTCTAGTCATCTACTATTATGGTATATTCCTGCCCTTTTACAATCCCATCTTGTTATAATAAATTAAACCATAAACATTTTAAACTCCGCGCCCAGCTTCTGGTTGCGAAACTAGCTAAGTTTCTGCATTAGCCAGCACTTAGCGCAGCGACGCCAATAGCAGGTTGTGGAAATGGCTAACAGCTGCTTCCCAGCACTAATCACTAAATTGAATAATTTTTTTGCTCAACTTAAGGTATACTATACTATTCAGGATATTTTGACTATGAAATTGAGTTCATTGTATATTAATGAATTTCCTCAGTATATTAAATTCCATATTTATATTGTTGATAAGCAACAACAAGCAAACCTTTCCCACTCACGTAACGTTTTATGCCTTTTTTGTTGGTTGACCAGCCACTCTTGTGGAGAATTGATGGACAATTCGGATAAAATTATAGTTTTAGCGCGGAAACTCCTAACCAGCTAGTAATATCAAATAAACATATCAACATAAAATCGAGGAAAATAATTTAAAATTCACGGTATATTTACAGGATATTTTGAAAATGCAAGGGCATATTTGGGTATATTTCCGAGGGTGCGTTGGTATATTTGATCGATAACTCCGTGGTCACACTGCTCAACTTTGTTTGTACATTTCGAATTTAATGAATTTAATGAATTATCGTGTGAAACAAGGAAAATGGAGCGCAAAGAAGTGGACGCACAGCAGTACATTGATCACGTGAGTACATGGAATGGAATTTTGGAGTGTAATTTAACTGATTTTCTGGTGTGCATCCCATAAATAGACGCTGCTGGCCTCGGAGCTAATGCGGGATCCAAATCACTTTATTATGGATCTAATCGATCACACGGGCGTGTTTCCCAAAGCCGAGGGACCCACCAACCTGACAACCAGCACAGGAAACACCCCGAGTGATGGGACTGGCGGCTACGTGGAGAAGGATGCCCTGACGCCGGAGCTGAATTTTCACAACACAATTTTCCAGTTTGTGAACAAGCATGTGAACGAGTCCTCGTCGGGGGACAGTGTAGTGGGTCCGGTGGTGTCCCAGCAAGTGCCGCAGCCTGCCTTCCCAGCCCTGGCCATAGAGCCCACAGTGCCCATCGATGTCTCGACGGGTCTGCACGCCGTCGACGATGATGATCTGCTGTATGTGCACAATGCTCTGACGACCAATGCCCGCAAGGTGCTGCCACACAAGAAGCGCATTTCGAGGAAGCTCAAGGGCAACATCGAAGCGGAGATGGAGCTGCAGCATCAGCAGCAACAGCAGCACAAGCATGTGGTTCAGCATGTGCCGGTCGGGGCGGCCGCTCTCTATAGCTGTGAGATCTGTGGCTATGCAGTGCACACACAGTTGGATTTCTTTGCACATCTCAAGCAGCATTATGAGCCACCAATGGCCATGGAGCAGCGACTGGAAGTGCCCATACAACAGCAGCAACAAGAGCAGCAGAAGGAGCCACTGGACATGTGCGGTCTCTCGTCACAGGATAAGGTGAGTCTGTCCCACTGATATATTTCGATTGCTAATCCCTGTCCCTATTCCCCTACAGCTGCAGCAGGAGCAGGCCAAACTGGATCAGGTCTTTCAAGATGTTCAGCTGAACTTTGAGAACTTTCATCCCATCAGTCATGTGGATCACGATGTGGGCGTGGGCGTGGGTGTGCCTGTAAATGTCAACGATGTTGGCGTCAATATGGTGATGCATGGCGAGGCCACAGACAAAATGAATTCAGTGGGTGCCAGCAGCAGCACGCCCAACGTCAACGTTGTGGTGCCCGTTGTGGATGATGTAGAGTTCAGTGACACTGAGGACATGCTCGAGGGCATACGGAACGTAGTGGACAAGGTGTCCATTGAGGACACTTGCGATGAGCTGGTGGATCTGGAGCTAAGCACCGCCACGATACGAGCGCCCTGGTTTAACAACAACTTCAGCGACATCACATTCCCGGGCCTGCTGCTGCCTGGGGAGCCGCCTCCAGTGACAGCGGAGCAGGCGACAACGCCGCTGCTCAAAGAGGATCATCCCAATGAAGCGGAGCAGATGGATTTGGATTTTCTCAATGCCAGCAAACGCGAGGAATCAAATGACGTCAAAATGGAGAAGCTGGAAAAGCCCATCGAGGGGATTGAGCAGCCTTTGCTGGTGGCGCCACCAATGTGCTGCACCTCTCCGGCACCTCCTCTTGCGCCACCGCCTGGCTCGGCCATTGAACAGCTGCGTCGTTCCCCCCTAGTCCTACACGAAGCAGCCTACAAACTGGAGGCTGATGAAATGCCTGACGACAGCGCACCGCCCTCACCATTTGAAAGTGAAGAAATCGACAGAGAGGATGAAGACGTTACCGATGGCTATGCCATGGAGAGCATAGACACAAGTCCCAGCGAAGAGTCCCCGAGCAAAGCGAGGAGGAAACACTTTTGTGAGAAATGCAACAGGGACTTCAATTCATACAATGCCCTCAAATATCATCAATATACACACAACCAGGAGCGTTCGCACAAGTGCAGAAGCTGCGAAAGATCCTTCTACAACCAAAGTGCGCTCACAGCACACGAGAAAACACGTAAGAGTTAGCCCCCAACTAATAACAAACTCATTTAAATCTTTTTTTCCTCAACAGACTCTGGCGTAAAGCCCTTTGAGTGCGAGAAATGTGATTACAAGTTCCGACAGTGGGGCGATCTCAAGTATCACATCATCTCCAGACACAGCGACATCAAGGCCCACATGTGTGAGTTCTGCGGCAAGAGCTTCTCCCGAAGGTACTCCCTGGTGCTGCACCGTCGGATCCACACCAGCGAGCGGAACTACGCCTGCCAGTACTGCGACAAGACGTTTCGTGCAAGTTCTTACCTTCTGAGCCACGTCAAGGTGCACACGGGAGAGCGACCGCACGAGTGCGAGGTATGCCAGAAGCGATTTCGCGTCTCGGGGGATCTCAAGCGGCATTCCCGCATTCACGATCCCTCCAGAAATAGTCAGGCCCCCGCCACAAAAGTCAAGAAAAAGAAGCTGAAGCAAATCAAAGACCAGATTCCAAATGAGAATGAAGAGGAGGAGGAAGTGGTGGCGGTTGCCAACCGTAAACATAAGTCTGACGCCTTGTGCGACGAATCAGAGCAGGAAATTCTCGGCTTATAGCCCTGCTGGCCCAAGGTTCTTCAATATAGTATTAGCAATGATTAAACCACACATTGAAATCGCATAAATACTTTTTGGTATGCTCCATCTTTGTGTAACATAACCTTTTGTACTAGTAAATTATTAACTAAAAATCCTAAGATGTTTGTACCAAACCACACAATTTGTAAATATCAAATACGTAAACCATGGCTTTTACTCGTAAATGTTCCAATCTTTTCGCGCGAAGACATCCCCAGATATTCCACACATTGCTGGTGTCTCCCCAGCTGGCAGTTGAATAAAAAACAAGTCCATCGAAATTCTATTGCAGAGCATTTCTTTATTAGTTTTCATGTTTTTCTCTTGTCTTTTTTTTTTTTTTTCTCTTTCTCTGTTTTTGCACTTGTACCGTTCATCGACTTAGATGTTAATGAGTAAGATACATATACATATATATATGCCTGTATATATATACATGTATATATATATCGTTAATATTAATGTAACTATGTACAACACAAGTGTCTGGGGCCGTCGCCTGACAACGTGCCCTAAACTCAATGAAATCTTTGTATTCTTTTTGTTTACAACATAATTTGTATTTCTCTTTTTTTTGTTTATCATTCATCTTCATCATTCATCGTTATCGTTCAGTTTTTTGTTTTGTTTCTCAAAAATATTCAACATAAACCTGCTCCAGCAGCCATACATTTCCATAGATTTGTGTGTGCTTTCCTTTCATAATTCGTTATTTCACAATGTTTCTCTCTTAAGAATTATAAACTAAAATCCTAGTATTGGTTGCTTCACATGCTTCTCTTCTCTCCTGCTTTAATGTACGCTCAGTCCATGATATCTTCCATTTATCTTCCATATATAATATAATTCTTCCTCTGTTCATCGTTCATCTTCATCCAGTGATGATGATCGTTCTTCACATTCTCCATCCTTCTTCCTCTGCTTGTGTTAATTAATAATTAATTAAAAATTATGAAAACTGCATTCCTAGTATCAGTATCCTGCACTCTCCCAGCTTGATCCTAACTTTGCCTGATGGTTCATTCTCTCCATTACTCTTTCTTTATTAATCATTATATATATTCTTGGTTTCTTGGTGTCTTGGTGGTGTGGATTATGCTGTTTTGGTAGGTTGAGTGTTCTGAGTGTGTGTGTGTCTTTATGGATCCTTATGGTGTGTGTGTGAAATATTTTGTTTTTAACGGGTATGATGGTATGGCTATTGAAAAATTAGCATACGAAACATTTTGCGACTACGTTTTGGGAGTGAACTGAAATTTTGCCTGCCTGTTGTTCGTAAATATGATTTAAAATTAGCATTACTTTGAATATTTCTTCATTTTTGTTTTTGTTGTGTCTTGGTTTTACATACATACATATATATGGTACTTAAAAATTTATGTTTTTTCGTTACTTTTGCTTTTGCTATGGATGCACACATTTACTGGTTGTTTGTTTAGTTTTTTGTTTTAAATTGGTAATCTTTAAATTGAATATGGGCTTATTTTGTAGCATTTCGCTTTTGTTTCTTCATTTAGTTGACAAAGAAAATGTTAAGTATGCTTTACTAATACACATATGAGCCTGCAAACAGTTGCCAATTGTTCGTGTGGTGTGTTGTTGCGTTTACTGTAGTCATCAAATCCTCCCCTCATCAATCATCAATCATATTGGTAAAACTGAAGAGCTTTAATCGCATGCATGATGGTTTGATGGCAGCTTTTTGGTTTTGTATTCTGTTTTCTGTGTTTTTCTTCCGATCGGTTTTTTCTTACATTGTGGATAATTAGAATATTGTTTTATAAAATAGCTTGCTATTTCATGTTGTACATTAACACACATATTTAACTGTTTTTACAACCGTCGTGGTTGGACAGTTTGTATCGGCCTTCGGTTTTCATCATACATACATCATACAAAAGGTTCCTTGTTCATTATTATTCTGTTTTTTTCTGTATTTGTGTTACTGTTTTTTCTTTTAGTTGCTATTGTTGCTTCACATTGTTGCTGTTACTGTTACTGTTACTATTTTTCTGCGTCCCAAGTGTTTGCTACGCTATTTTCCCACTGTCTTTTCCTCACTTTCTCTGCTCCCTCTAACCGCTCACAGTTCCTTTCCTTCTTCAATTTATAGAAATATAATTTTGCTCTTTTTCCCTTCTTTTCTTTTCTTTTGTTTTGTTTTGTTTTGTTTTATAAGTTTGAGTCTTCTGTCTACATCACCACATAGATTCTTGGTTTTTAAAAAAATTAAAATACTTTCTTCTTTCCACAGTTCATAAAATGTTTTTCTCCTTTTCTCTTTTCTTGGCTTGCCAATTTCTTCAAAAGTTTTTTTGGTTTTCCCACACAAATACAATATTTACAGTTTACAGTTTTGGTTTTTTTCTTTTACAGAATTCTGCAGATTTTCTCCATTTTTGTAGTTGCTACATCTAAATCTTAAATCATTCTTTACACAGCCCCGACTGCTGCTGTCACCTCCTTTGCTCTGCTCTGCGCTTGGCTCTTGTTCTGCATTTTCTTAACTTTTTCATACGATTTTTTTGTTTCTTGTTTCTTGTTCAGTTTAAAATTGTGAAAAAATAGCTGCATCTATTGTAAATTTTAGGTTTTGTTTGCATTTAAAATTTGAATTACCTTTAGCTTTATATAATTTGATTTGATGATATTTTTATCCTTGCTGTTGCTGTTGTGTTGCTGGTTTCTCCTCTCTGTCTGTTGCTGTTTTCTTTTCTGTATTTTTTTGTGTTTGCCTTGAGACGCGATGTCTGATGTCGTGTAGAGGGCGCTCCTAATCGGACGGCCAGTGCTGCCAAGCATCAGCTGGGCCGCCCTTAACCGTTAGGTACAGTTGCTGTCTCTATTTGCAGTTTGTGTTCTTGTTGTAGATGTAGCTGTAGCTGTGGTTGTGGTTGTGGTTTCGTATAAAAAGTCTTTGATTTGCCTTTTCCCTTCCCCTTTCCATTCGATCCTTTTCTTCGCTGTTAGCGCGCTCTGCATTAGAGGCTCACCTGCTGCATCTTATCAAAATCTAAACACGGCCGATGCGGTCGCTGCAGTCTCTGAGTGGCAGCGGCGGCGCTTGCGGCATTGGCAGCATTGTGTGTTGTTGTAGCTGCTGTGGATGATGATGTGCCCGTCGATGATGTTGTGGTTGGGGCTGATGTGCCTGCCGCTGCAGCCGAACCCGAATTATTACTAGGACGACGCCTGGGCGAAATGGCGCAGTGGAACAGTTTCGCGGGAGGACTAACCGAGCGCACCTCCATATCCAGGCCGGTGGTGCTGGCCGGACTACTCCGCGAGCTATTGTAGTGGAAATTATACTTGGGCTGCGGCTGATAGATGTGGTGGCTGCTGTTGCTCATCTTCAGGGAGCTGCTGCACGCCTTGATCACACTCGGCTCGTTCTCGTTGCCACCACCCACAGCTCCGCCCAGCTTTGGGCATTTGCTATGGTTGCCATTGCCACCGCCGCTGGCGCCGCCGCCGCCGTTGTCGCCATTCTCCTCGTTTACACTATTATCACATAATTTAATATTTTCGATGCCACATCTGGCCTCCGATAATATCAGTGGCGTTGTGGAGCGGAACATCATATGGCTACGATTTGGCTTGAATGCCTCCAATGGCGGCGATGTGCGAAAATTCACGGGCGTCAAAATCGGCTCCAGCGAATTGCGTAACTATAAAACAAATACAAAGACCACAGATCAGACATCAGAATCCTTACAATATTCTCAAACATACTCACCTCATCGTCGGAGCTGTGGGCCAAGGACCGTTTACGGTTCTCCACCATCAGCGTTGAGCTGGAACGCTTCGAGTTGGATGTGGTGGCCCGTTCCTCGTAGGGCGCCTCCGTGTCGAGGGAGGAGGTGCACCCACGATTGGAGAGTCGCGAAGCACACGAAGCGCCCGTCACGGTCGTGGTGCCATGGCCTGCCACCGTCGATGGCCCATTGATCACCTCCAATTCCTCCTCGGAGCTGTGCTGATCGTACATGAGATGGGCGCAGGATGACGTTGTCTGGTGGTGACACATCATTGCAGGAGAAATTGGTTTTTGGCCAGCGACAGCTACAAAAGTACAAGACATTTCTGTTAAAATATGATAATTGCTAACAAGTGCTGAAAATGTCCAGTGTTGGAAAATGTTTACATTATTTGTGACCAACAGTAATAGTGTAGAAAACCGTAAGAATCAACTAATTAAATGTACTTTTAAAGTGATTCTAAAAGATTTAGTTTTGGTAATTAATTGTTGATTTCATTGTTAACAGTGTGGGACACGGATAAAATTTGTCTTACGATTGCATTTCTAAGCTTACAAAATTGTCCGTAACCGGTTTTTACGAAACGGTGTCTATTTCGGCCATTTCAAAACATTTTAACTCCAAAAATTTGAAATTTGGTTTCCAGAAACGGGTTTGCTCTGTCGCACTTACTAGTTTCCATATCCACGTCTAAGTGACGTTGTTTTTCCACATCGAGGAGTTCACCATCCGATTCGGTTCCAGAGTCATTCGATTCACGCTGCGGGGGATAAGACGGGGAGAAATTTACCGATTATTTAGATTTCGAATAATAAGAAGGGTATTTCCAATATCGAACCTTTTTACGAAGAAAATTTTTCGATGCCTTTAATGGATTCTCGCGATTTTTCTGCCTGACAAACTTTATCATGATTTCTCGCTATGTGCTTTATATGGTATATATTATACATTCCATACACGCACACCGACACGCTCACGCACATACACACTCCCACAATTACGGCGGAAAAACTTACTACGACTACGTTGCAGTCACAGCCACAGTCACCGTCGACGTCAGCGTCTACGTCAACTTCAACGTTAGCAGCGGGCAGCGCAGCGCGTATATGTGTTTTGTTATTTTCTTCTCTGCTTCTCTTCTACTATTACTACATACTACAACTTTTTTGCCCCGTTACGTTTTACACGCTCTTTCTATGCCTCGTCTGTCCCTCCCTGCTGCTCCCACTGGCCAATATGTCCCCAACACATGGGGCAGAATGTATGTGGTCTTTTGCTTCCTGATTCACGAGAACGAACGGCAGAGAAACGCTCAATCTCTCTCTTCTGTCAAGCACGAGCTCCAGCTCTCTTTCTGCACTCACGCCACGAGCTCCAATTCTCCCCACACTCTCTCTCTCTCTATCTCTTCTTCTTGCTGTTTCTCTCTCTCTCTCTTTCGTTTGCCGCCTACGCTGTTGGGCGCTTGGCGCGTGTAAAGTGTAAGCGCCGTTTCCTTTTTGTGCAAATATTTCAATCACGTTCCGCCTCCACCACGCGGACTATGGGTTGTACGATTTTTGTTGTAACACCCGCTACCCACCCCCACCGGAGGGGACTGCGACTGCGATGGCGACCCGACTGCACTAACGGGAAGAGCCGAACGCCACTCGAGTCCGATGCGAGCGCGCACCTTTCGCCGTAAGTTATACAGCACGGAATTATTGATTTTTGTATAACGGAAGCCAGACGACCAGGAATCCAAAAAAAAAAAGGACAACGTGTGCGTGTCCCATCCGTATCCGTGTCTGACTATGTGGTGTCGCTGCTTTTTTTTCGCACAGCAATCAGAAAAGTTCATTATATTCCATTTTCACTTTCTTTAGTTGTTCTCTCTCGCCCGGTTCTGTCCATCTTTCTATGAAACAAATTGCACTTGCAAAAACCGTTTTGTAACGGTTGTGTCCGCCCACGCCAGGATTCTTGGTTGGCTGGCTGGGATTATAGTTACTACGTGTTACTATCGCTTCGCCCGTCACCGGCTAGTGCTGCGCTCAAACTGAAAAATTATGGTCACAATGTAGCAGGGCAACACTGTCTCTCGAAATCTCTGCGCTGGCGCTGGAGCTTGCCCCAAGCCCCCCACTGTCCAGAGCCATACCCCTGGCGCATCGGCTGATTTTCTTCTCACTTGCAGTTTCTGTCTGTGTGTATGTACACGGCTGCTTGTGTAGGTGTGTGTAGGCGGCATGCAACGGCCTAGCACGGGGCTGCCAGATGGGTGCGAATAATGTTCTACCAGACACATTTTAGGAAGATGTAAATATGTGATTCCAATTATCTCAATTAATATTTATTAAATCATTCACCATTTGAGAATAATTTATTCAAAATGCCTCTTCGTAGATTACATTAATCTTTTCCTTACGAAATAATAGATTAAAGGCAATTGAACTTTGACCAATTTAAAATGAAACCATTGTTTATAGTTTCAACAAAGTTGCACACAATGATTGAGGGTTGATAATGCATTCATACTATTCGTAATTAATTGAACAAATTATCACTCTTGGTATATTTTTCTTTGAAATTGTACCCCTTTGTATGCCATTGTTTTCCCATTCATTGAATTCTTTTCCCATTCCCACAAAACAATTGCAACAGTCTGGTAACGCTGCCGGGCACACTACAGTGCACTTACTTGAATGCGAGTGTGTGAGAGGGAGAATATGGAAGCACAGAGAGAGAGAGAGAGATAACAATGATTAAGAGAAGGGGTGTGTAGGGTTATGTTGGTTTGTGGGGCCCGACCATGCCAGAGCAGAGGCATCGTGTTTGGTTTTGCGCACAACTCGTGCCCCCAACAACCTCATAAGGTGCGTGCCATAAGAAATGCACACTTTCAAGTTGCAGGAACCTTGTCATTATATTTCTGTGGTGTCGTTTTGCAAAGAATACAAACCATAAATGTTTACTCATTCACCCTCGCATCCAAGGTTGTTTACTTCTAGTCTTATCTCGACGACTATAAAACATATTTGATACGAATACGAAATGAATGACACATTTAAGACCAATTTCAGTTCAATGTGTATAATGTTTGCGCTGTATAATCATGTAAATATCTAACTTTTGATAAACACAGGCAATTTAATGCTTCACAACCAGAAGTTTTAAATTGGATTCTTGTGGAAATAAAAATATACATATAAATATAAATAAACAGCTCTTAATCGCGACGAACAAAGGGACTAATAAAGTGACAGACAGTCACTCTAAAAATATAATCGGACTCTGCGCTGGGAGATTTGATTCACAGATTGACCTTGAAGTCTGTTCATTTCTTTGGCAATCGGAGGAATCGAATTAGTAACATATTCAAATCGTAAAACCTAAAAATATAAAATATATTTTCTTATAATGTACTGCTTTAAACTTCTGATCCGCACCTTAGTAGTTATAAGCAGAAGAAGAAGCCAAGGCAGCAGAAGCAGCAGCAGCAACAGCGGGCAGGTTGTGGCAGGCACATACACACATACCCGGGGTCTCGTAGTAATGTGGAGACCCAGAGAAGAGTACGAGTACTCTACTCGTGCAACATCAACAAAAAAGCCAAATAAAACGAAGCGTGCGAAACTCGTTGCAATGATGATATGAGAAATTGTTTTGAGCTGCAGCTACAACAAAAAACAAAAAAATACAACGATCCGCCGAATGTGGAAACATGGCATGGAAAACTACGCACGAACATGGCCGCGGCGGCTATGCCACTGCAACTGAAACTTGCAACGTGCAACGAGGAGCAGACTGGTTTCTGGTGCTATTGCTACTTTTTGTTTTATCATTCCTACATTTTTCCTATATTTTGTGTATTTTTCCACATTTTTTAAATTTTTTGTGTAGTTTTTCTACAACTTTGTTCGGTTTCGTGAATTTTCACCAAATATTTTTCTACTCTTTTCCTGTATGGGGTGTATTTCTTCACATATTTTCGTATTACCTTACACATTTTTCTATTATTCCTGTTACCCCTTTTCCCCCTCTAGATTTCATTGTGCAATCCGCTTTCAATTTGCTTTCAATTTACGGGGAAAATACTACGACACACTACGTGCCACAAAACGTAAACGGCTTTTGCAGAGCATCGTTTATCCGAAGCTCCCCCTCCCCTAACAAACATATACACTCAGAGCGAGAGAGAGAGAGAGAGAACAAAGTCTGGCAAAGAGGCAGCGACTGCAGCAGAATTAGCAGCAGCAAGTACTTTTGTTCCATTCATACCACACACACACAAGCGAACACGTATACACAACAGAAGACAGAAGAGAGCGAGCGAGCGTCTGACGTATGCATGTGGCTACAATTTCCACTCTGGTGTGGGTGTTCTTCGGGGAGGCAGCAGGCAAAGGCACAGGCAGCGCAGCGACTGCGTGTTGCAGCCTTGCTTCAGGTCTAAATTTAGCACTGGGCTTGCAACTCCACAAGGATTTTTCCAATTTTTCCTTCTATAACATTTTGCACACTTACACTTTACACACAAATCGCACACAAACACTCAAAATAGTGGCATGCTGCACGCAATGCAATGCCAAAAAAACTAGTGGACAGAGAATTCACCGTTAATCCATTTTACACTTACTTGGGTCGCCTGCCTCTCCTTTCCTTATGGGCCTGGGGCAGAGGTTCACGGAGGGGGCACAATTACGAAATGTTGCAACTGCTTTTTGCACAAAAATTTTATATCCTCGACACGACAGGAAAATGGAAAAACTTCTACACAGCCAGGGGCCAGCAGGCAACAGCAGCAGGCAGTGAGTGACGAACGATGAATGGCTGGACTGGAGCTCTCTTTACTACAATTTACCAGCAGCGGCAGCGACTGCGAACGGAGCCCCACAGCAGCAGACTGTAGGCCGTGGGGGTGGGTGGGTGGCGTGAGCGAGTATGTGTGTGTGGAGCACGCGACGCGTTTTGGAGAATTGACAAAACAAGCGCAATGAGAGAGCATTCTTGTTCTCTCTCGCTCTGTTCGCTTTTACGCCAGAAACTACACAAGGAAAACGCAACAAAAACGCTACACATAAAGGGAATACTCGCTGCTCGGGTCTATGCTTTGATACCCTTGTAAAAATAACGTCTCTGTTGTTTATGCACACATGGTATATAGAAATGCGACGGGCCACAAAAAATGCATGGGCCACGTTCAAAGTCTAGTTTTATTGACTTTCTAATGGCTCTGGCAAACATTTACTGAAAACATCATACCCTTCATGTACAAGTTGTAGCAAAGCAAACACTGCTGGAAATCTCTCTCTTATTCTCTCTTACGCTCTTCCATATAAATCCTCTCTGTGCACGTTTGTGAGTGCATTGCATAAAAAGTAAACCCAACAGACATTTTTGCAATCGTCTAATGCAATTAACTTTTCAATGTCAAGTCGTACACGTCACACTATCCAACACAATCTACATACACCCCCCACTCATACTCACCAGCTTTTGTTGTTGCCTTAGAGCGCGTCATCATGAATAGTGATTCCACGGCACTTGAGACTTGTTAACCATTTAACAGCAACTGTTTCACTGCACAATCACATCTTTTATTTGTGATATGTTCCCATTTGTTTGGCGTTTTGCAATTAAATTGGATTCCACACGTTCGAGCGATAGATGGGAGAGCAGCAACAAATTAATGGCCCGCTTATAACCGCGACAACAACAAAAAAAAAACAGAAGTAACAACAGAGTGTGGATGAGCTGTGATGACGTCACAATTGACGCGAGACATGCCGTGTCGCTGCCAGAGATGCCAGCTTAGCGTTTTAACCGATAGATTTGGAGCGTGCCGTCGAATTTTGCTGTACTGTGCATGCCGTAGTACTCATAACTAATATGCCAGACAAACATTATGCATCATATGACGACGAAAAAGGTGCGGAGGTAATAATTTCTGGTTTGTGTGACAAGAATGTGGCATCTCTGGTCTCAACTGACGTCGCAATTGCGCAATCGCTATCGCTATCGGTATCGGAATTTGAATTTTAGGGTATGGAATAGATTTCCGGGTTTCTTTTAATTTGTAGTCATTTTCTCATATGTTTATTTACAACAACTTACAGCTAATTCGTATTTTCGATTCTAATTCAATTTGCACTATAACTAATGGATGGAATGATCTAAGTATACCACAAAAAAAAACAACAACGGGCGGGCGTGTTCGTCTCTCAATATCGATCGTGTCGGCTAGCATAATCTCGGTTTGGATGATGCAAAACTAAAAAACTAGAAAGTGTTGTGTTGTGTTGTGTTGTGTAGTGTAAAGTGAGCGTTAATTAGAGTATGAAATGGAGCTGAAACTCCCCTCCCGCCTCACATAGCCGTCTCCAGGGGCTGACTGTGACTCCGTCCGTTCGTTTGCAGCGGCTGCAGTCCGCCGGCGCCATCATCGTGATCGAAATCGGTCTCCAGCAGCGCCTCCGACTTGGATCGATGATAGGCATTGGTCACGGCCAGCGGCGAGGGCGTCGTGGGAGAGGACTCCTCGGATGCCGTCTGGTAGACAGTCTTGGGTCGCGCCTGCACTGTGGGCGCTGCAGGCGGTTGGGCCAACGGACGTGGTGTCCGGTAGTGTGATGTGGGCGCCTTGCTGCTCCTCACGGCTGTATAATACGAGTCTGGACGTCGCATATCCAGCTGCTGCTGCTGCGGGGTTTGAGCTGCAGGCACCGATGGCGCCGGGCGGTACAGCGACGACTCTGTGGAGTAGTTGAATTGGTCCAACTTTTGATCGAAGGGCAGCGACTCGCCGCTGCTCCTCTGTGGCATGAAGCTGCTGTGAGAGCTCCGCTGATACTCGGGCAGATTCTGCTTCAGTTCGCTGAGGAACGCCAGACCCGGCTGCCCGCGTCTGCCGCGTGACACACCGCCCGTGCTGCTGCCACCCGTGTCTGTTCTCAGGGGCAGGGTGCTGGCATTGCCGTAGTAATCGGAGCCCACCTCCTCTCCCTCCGCATCCGTTTGATGGATAATGGGCGTGTCCTCGGCCACGCTGGTGCTTATCGAGTTGGCTCTGGTGCCGCCGCCGTAGGTGGAGTTATCCCGGAAGCCCTCGTTGCGGTAACTCAACTCGAAGGCATCCGTGGGTGGTAGGGCGGCTGCCGCGGCAGCTGCAGCTGCAGCTCTGGCTCGATGTCCCGTGGCCTTGGAGATGGTCGCCACCTTGTGGGGGGAGGATGACTGCTGGTGTTCCTGTGATCCTGGGGCCTGCGCCGGCCGCAGGGCATTCTGATTCACATACTCATTGTAGTGTGGCTTCTGCTCGTAGCCCTCGAAGTTGGAGCTGAGGACGCTCTTGTCCATGGAGTCAATGGAGCCATTGGCCACCATTTGCTTGTAGTCCTGGCTCTTGGACAGTGTGCCGTTGCTGGACATGTTCTGAGGGAGGATTATAAGGAAACCAAAGGGTAAACAAAATAAAAATCAACTAAAATTCAAAACTAAACGAAAATAATTGCAGAAATCATACATAATTGGGTCGCCGGCGCAGGGAGCCCTGCGGATCGATGCTGTTGAGACTCCGCAGACTCTGCCGGATGCTGTTCCGCCGCTGCAGACGCTGCACATGACGATGCTTGGACTTGGCGAACCAGCAGAAGGCCACCAGAATGAGCAGAATGATGGCCAGCACGAAGGCCGAGATAATACTAATGGCAAAAATGTCAGCACGCCACGACAAGGGATCAATGATTACCTAGGGGGCAAGAGAGAGATTTATGCATTGAAACTAAGGCTTTCCCCTGGTTGATTTGCAGACTTACTCTTGGATCCATTTCGCAGATGAAACCCCGCTCCCTGCCACAATCCTCCACCTCAATCTCCCCGAAGACAAAGCTCGTGCAGCGCTCGATGTGATTGTAGTCCTGTATCCACACCTTCTCGGGATACTTTAGATGCCGCATTTGGCTCTGCAGATACTTCCAGAGGGTGGTCTTATCTGTTCTCAAAAAGGGCATCGTGGAGTTCTCCGAGCGACAGAAATCCCGCGCCTCATGGAAGGTCATGGGTGCCCCAACATAAATGAAGCAAGTGTCATGGACGAGCGCCCAGCCCGGTGGACATTTGCCATCCAAAATGGTTTCATTGTTCATTTGGAAGGGCACGGCAAGGACTTCCAGCAGCATGGGATCGTCTGCGAGGGATAAGAAAGCGTTAAAAGTGTTTCTTTAAGGATATTTTTGGTGTAAACTTTTACCTGATTTATCTTTAATGCGCGACTGCACCGATATGGTATTGTTGTAGCTCCAATAATTGTGTCGCGCATCGATTCTCGAGCTCCAGGTTTCGAAGGTCCTACGGATGAGTGAGAAATGATTTAGTAGAGGTTTTTAGTTGAGTTTTTCTAGGCACATCTTACCTGTTTTCATAGTCAAAACTCATACTACAAATAGATGTACAGGAAAAACAGAGAAAGTAAAGAAATTAGTTGGAGCTTAACCGCAAAGAAAGAGCCGCACGAAAGAGCTCAGGAGTAGAGGCATAAAGATATTTTTATGGAGAAGTGAAAAGCGAAACTTAAGGCATAAAGTGGACTCCAAAGTTGAATTAAAATCACATATTTACATGGAATTATTGACAGTCAGCAGCTCGTAATCATTCTCGTAGTTCTCAAAGATATTATCCACATATTGCTGACCCGCAGTGCCGGCCACAACTGTGGCTCTAGACATCCAATTGGTGGCCACATTTCTGCAAGGATAAAACAAAGCCTAAGAAAACTTTCCAGACTTTTTCCAGCATTTTATCCCTTACCTATAGAAACCATTATGCGCTGTGGTTTGATAGATCTGCAGGCGTACTTTCTCGAAGCCAGACACCTCCATGATGCGTCCCCCCATGTTGCTGTGGACATAATTGTAGCTGAAGTTGGACACCACTTGGCACAGCCGAATGACATCCTCATAGCCAGCATTATTCTGGGCAAAGTAGTTGCGATAGAGCTCCACTTCCTGGTACGGCGATGACTGACGTCCTTCCACATACAAAGCAGGACGATTGCGATTTCTCATGAACAGATTGTGATGTATAAAGCCACGCAGGGAGGTGGCGGAACCTCGCGAATCAGCGCGAATGCGAAGGCCACCTTGGTTCTCCACGAGGAGATTGTTCTGCAGGGGAAAAGGTTTGAGCTTAAGAGATTTTTAAGGTTTATTTTAACCCACCATGAAGTACATGGAATTCATGTTCTGCACATCCAAATTCAGTGCCGAGGCGCAGGTGGAAAAGTTACCATACAACTGGCGACAATTCTTCTCAATGCGATTGCCAATGAGGGTCAATGTCGGGGTCACCTCACCCGCTGAGGCATAGCTGACAGCGCCCTTCATGGCCCCGGAGATGTGAGTATCCGTAATGTTGTGCAGGGCATCACGATCTAGATGAAATTAAGTGTTAAAAGTGCCTCTATGTAAGGGTATTCTGTAGCTTACTTTGACCCAAAGTGGAGATGGGAACTGTCACCACTTCGGCGATAAATCCATGCGTCTCGGGTGCACCACTCGCCACCAGCTGCAGACTCATCGTTGGGCCTTTGGTCTTGAAGAAGGAGCGCTGATTGTCCGTGTCCGATTCAATTTTGCCCAGATAGGTGGCCGTTACATTGTAGATGTCCCCGTCGTACAGCTTGATGAAGTCCGTTCTGCCATAGAGCTTCGAGTGATTGAAGAGATTGGACTGCAGCAAGCGGAAGCCAATGGGTTTGGCACGGAATGCCGAGGTGAAGATCTTCACACAGTTGACGGGATTATTGTCGTACTTGTAGTAGATGAGCATTCGCTCCTCAATGTCGAGCACCTTCTGCGGATCGCATATGTCCACCAGAGAGAAGAGTTTGTACGGCAGATCGAGTTTCTTCAGGGGGGAAAAGCTGGACTCATCGCTGTCCCGCCCTTCGCCCGTGAGCGACACAATGCTGATGCCTGTGCCGAGGGTCTTGTTGATGTTCAAATGATTGAGATTGAGCTTGCCACTGGGCGCAATCAGATTGATGCCATGATTGGCCGAGTTCTCGATGCTCACAGAGCTTATGGTGGGATTCTTGTGGATGGCCTGGATGGCGGCTGCCTTGTGGTTGTGCAGGATGCCCGCCTGCTCGATCCTCACGTACTCCAGTTGGCTCTCCCTCAGCGGCAGTCGCGCATGTGAGCGAGTGTTGTGCAGCCGATGCTCGTACTGGATCTCCTCAAACTTTGAGTTGGCAAAGCGGATGCCACCCCAGTAGACCTCATCATCGGCCACACTGTTGCAGCTGACAAACACGTAGACATCGTCCCACTTGCACTCGTGGCGATGTCCGTAGAGCTGGCCATTGAGTCGCTCCGCGCAATCCTCCATGCGCTCCTCATCGCCACGACACTCCAGCGGCTGCACCCAGGACCAAATGCGAGTCAACGAGTTCGTGTGGAACTCAATGCGCCTGTCGTGGCCATAGTAGACATTCAGCGGATCGAAGCCCAGCTCCCGGCACACGACCTGGGCATTGCGTTCGGTGAAGCGACCATCGCATATGGGCACCCACTGCAGCGTCGTGTGATTGAAGTACTCCAGGAAGCCCTCATTCAACCCGAACAGCCCATCCGCCTCGCCCGTGCAATTGTTGGCACTGGTGCACAGTCGAATGGAGTCAAAGTCGGTGAGGGCCGCGCTCATGTCCTCCAGGGCACGCTTGCGGGGCTGTGCCTCCACCATGGACTCGCGTGTGGCATTGCGGAAGGGACGCATCACAATCGGCGACTCCTTGTAGCCAATGGCCATCAGTGTGCCCAGCACGAGGATGCCCACATTCGGCTCAAACTCCATGGTCACACCGTGATTAATGGTCAGCGTTTTGCCCGGCATCACCGTGATGTCCGAGCCGATGTAGTACGGAGAACTCTGCTTGAGCAGCGTCAGATCCTTGTAGACTCTGCCTCCACGGTAGGTGTACAAATCGATCTCCCGATCCTGATTGAAGGGAACCACAACGGACACACTCGCATCGTAGCTGTCCTCGATGAGGAAGGGCTGATAGATGACATCCGCGTGATCGTTCCAGTTGTCAAAGTCAAAGATCTTGGACTCGATGTACGCCGTGTCCTTGGTGCCCCACCAGTTCTCCCTGGCCTCAAAGTAGTTGTTTAGTCTGGCAGAACGTACACCCGCCACCAGATTGTAGTCCATGTCATTCTCCGCTATCAAGTTCCGATAGAGTCGCACATTCTGGACACCATCCAAGCGGATCACAGCGGTGGGCAGTCGATGCTGTTTTCGCAGCTTCCGCACCGCCTTCAGGTAGTGATGTCGGTAGTCCGCCGTGAGGCTCACAATGCGATTATCCTTGAAGCTGTTGTACTCTATGCTGGCGGGCACCTGGCCGATGATTTCACTCAACGAATCCGCTTTGAAGAGCAGCACAAACTTGGCATTATTGCCCTCGAAGCGATTGTTGTCGAAGCGCAGACGCTTCTCCATGCCATCGAGTGCGATGAGGGCATTCGGGCAGTTGTTCTCCCTGAAGACATTCGAAGTGATGTTGAAAACCGTGTAGTGGCCGTGGATGGAGATGTGAAAGTCGCGATTCCGCTGCCAGGTGCTGTTCCCGAAGTATATCGAGTGGGTAAAGTTCTCGTTGTACTGCCAGACGTAGGGCAGTGCCACCTGGAAGCCCCCGTGGGTGTTCTGCTCCACTGTGGTGTCCTGGATGACATAATGGAAGAGATTGTTGGACGAGCGCAGATCCTTGGACATCTGTCGTATGCCATGGCCATTCTGGGCAATCAACGAACCATTCACGTGGATGGTCACCTCCGAGAGATTGCTGGAAATGACATCCCAAAAGGGCGAGCGAATCAGGATCGCCTCCCGCTCGTTGTAGCTCAGCTCCGAGTTGATCAAACGAATCGACTCGTTGGCCTTGCGCAGATAGTTCTCGCCATTATCCCCGATGTATCTGTTGTAGTAGCTGCCCGTAATGCCACGCAGATTCTTCTGGATCTTCGTGGAGCGTATGACGAGTGTGGGCACTGGGCCGCTGACTATGCGATTCCGAATGTTTTGCACTGGAGCGGTGACTGTACTCAGCATGAGCACAGCTCCTCCGAGGGCCTCGTGCCCGCTCTCGTAGTAAATGATGATGCCATAGCTGCTGCTCGTCACGGGGAACACATTCAGATCGCGCTTCACCTGCCACAAGTCGCTGCGAATGTTCTCCGTGCGCGCATTCAGGATGCTGATGCTCTCCGTGGACAGATTGTGGATGGGATTGAGGAGCTGTATGCCGATGACATAGCCCGCGGGGCACTGCACCACGATCTTGCGATTGATGGACACGCCCAGCAGCTCCTCCGTGCGGATGTACTTGTGCTCAAAGGTGCCCAGATCGATGTTGGCTACCTCGTGGGGCAGCAAGTACGGATCGTAGTCCGTTTCGTAGGCATTGAAGTCCCGGGCCATGTTGAACCAGCCGCCAATTTCCTTCTGGTCTAGCGCGGAGATGACCGCATCGTGGGAGATGCCACTGCCGCGATTCTCCTTGATGATGGAGCCAGAGATGCGGAAATCCAGCTGCTTGAAGCTTATGCCGCTGCCCTGGTTCCCCGAGAACTCTGAGTTCTTGATGTTGTTCACCGATTTGCCGGCATAAATGTCCGCATAGATGATGCCCAGTCCATCCTGCAGATTGTTCACCACTCGCACGTTCTCCAGATTGTGTCGCGCGTGATCCATTTGCACGGCAGGCTTGAACGCATTCGTGGTGTAGTCGAAGAGTCCTGCCTTCTCCACGGTCACGTACTGGAGATCTGCTCGCTCTGCCAGCATGCTGAAGCGTACACCCGCCCAGGCGCCCTCGTAGCACCTCAGACCCACATCATTCTCGTGGCTGCAGGTGTTCTCGAACTCGTACTCCGCCCGGCACTGGGTCACATCTTTGTCCTGCAGCGTGCAGCGCACATTGGCCACCAGGATGTCCTCGGAGGTGCCAGCATTGGGCAGCTGTGAGCGTAGCAATCGCCAGTCCTGTGGGTTCAGCGAGTACCCAAGTTGGTGGCACACCAAAGCGGCATTCAGCACATTCCAACCGTAGTCGCAGACAGTGCCCCAGCGGCCTTTCACGTACACCTGCAGGCGGCCCTCATTGGCACCCGAACCGCCCACCAGGCGCACGGGGATCCTGGGTATCCCATTCGAAGGTATAACCTCCGTTTCCATGTCTATGGCCTCCGTTTCGCTGTCCAAATCGATGGTCTCCGTGTCGTTGTGCTCCCCAATGATGGTCTCCCGCTTGAGGGTGAAGAGAATGTCATCGGGTCGACGGCCTCTGGCCTCCAGCTTCCCAGCCACCATCATCCCCACACTTGGCTCGAACCTCAACGTTGTGCCTGGCTGCAGGATGAGCTTGCCCCCGGGTCGTATGTTGATGTCCTTGGTGACGGTGTAGGTGCCAGCTGGCACCATGTCCTGGCCATCCACCTCGCCGCCAATGATGTCGCTGCCCTCGTGGAAGAACCGAGGCACCACAGTGGAGACCGTGATCATGGCAGTGGATCCCGGATTGGAGCTGTGCAGCAGGTAGGGGATGTAGTTGATCTTGGCCAGATTGTAGCGATCGTTGCGATGGAAGAGTCGCGCATAGATGCGGTTCTCGTCGGTGTGGCCCAGCCAGTTGCAGGTGGCATTGATGATCTTGCTCTGGTCCGTCAGCTGTGAGCCAATCTCGTACATGGAGTCCAGATTGTGCAGAATGTTCCGATAGATGTCCACGTTGCTGGAGCCCACCACGACAGGAGCAGCCACCCTCGATCTGGGATTGAGTCTGCCTGCCCCGTCGGAGCCTTCACTGCCAGCAATCAGCGGGCCAAAGGCCTCGGTGATGTTGTTGCTCCGCACAAAGTTTCGCGTGAAGAGAATGTACTGGACCTCCGCGCGGCTATACGGGGACAGACCGAGTGACACCACATGGACACCGCTGTTCCGCATAAAGTAATTGCTCTGAATGGTTAGCTTGACGGGGAAGTAGTTGAACTCGGGATAAATGTAGTCGTTGTTCACGTAGAGGCATCCGTAGCTGCCAAAGCGGAAGACATTGAACTCGATTCTGCCTTGGAGATTCAAGGCGGGACTCAGATTAATGGAGTTTGCCTGGGAGTACTTGAACTGATTGTGTCCCAGCTGCAGCTGCATGTTGGGCTGCCCATTGGCTGTGGCCTGGTAGCAGGACTCGATGAAGATGTCATTCTGCTGGCTGCCATTGAAGCTGTTGCCCGTGATGTTCACCCAAATGGGGCGACAGAAGTTGCCGTGGAACACGCCCGTCTCCAGGTTGCCGGCAATCTGCGAGTACTCCACGACGCTGGTCTGATTGAAGGGTATAAACTCCACGCGATCGATGTCCGTGGTGTGATTGAGCCACGTGGCCATGCCATAGCCCTTGTTGGCAGTCAGCGCGGAGCGGGAAATGTTTCGATTTCCGCCATAGTAAGTGATGTTTACACCTGCGCCATTGTTGAAGCTTATGTTGGAGCTGGTTATGTTCACATCTCCCGCACCGCTGGTCACATGCACTCCCGCCACATGGCCATTGCCGGACACGGAACTCCCGTGCACGTGGATCTTCGAGCGAATGTTATCAATGGCCACACCGCGGCCACCATTATCCTCCACCGTGGACTGCGACACGCGCAGATCGTAGGCCACCGAGTCGCCCGAGGTGATGCGGAAGTATCCATTCATCTCCTGCCTGGCATCCGCGCGAATGCGGACAAACATCTTCTCCCTGGTGGTGGTGACACTCTGCGGACGCGTGTAGTTCCTCGCCTGCCACTGGAACAGCAGCCGATCATTGGTGGAGGCTCCATCGTAGATCTCCACGGTGGCCGTCTCATTCTGCATCAGCACAAAGTGCTCGAAGTGGAGCGTCAACAGGTAGCCGGGACGCGTGAAGAAGTACTTGCCACACTCCTTCACCGATCCCGCGTAGTACTTCTGTGTGAAAGACAGCGAAATGGGATAGGTCTGCCCCGAGGTGGTGGGCAGTGTGCAAAAGTCGTAGATGCTCGCACGATCCTTGCGCTCCGTGCCGCGCAGATCGTGCCCCACGTACTTGACACCATCTGCCGCATTGTCCACAATGGAACAGCCGTCGAGTTGCACCATTCCCTGGCTGGAATTGACAAACACTCCAATGCCGTTGCACTTCCTCACGGTGACATTCTGCAGCTGGAATCCAGCCCACGGCAGGGTGCTGTTGAATCCCGTGTACGCCGAATGGCTGATCACCACGTGCTCCATTTGCGGCGGCAAACCCTGCACCTCCACGGCGGACTTTGCACTGAAACCTTCGCCATTTCCCGCTCTTATGATGTCCACGTACTTCAGTCGTGACTCGGATCGTGCCGCGTACACCGTGTTATCCCTGCCGAGTGCCTTCGTGGATGGTGCATTGTCGAAGTAGATGCCACGCCAGTGCCCCAGTGGCACCGCATGCACGGGCTGGCACTGGATGCCCAGATCGTTGTGGTAGTCGCAGGCTCCAGCGCCCATTTGCCTCGAACTCCAGGCACAATCCACCAGTTGCTTCTCTCCGCCACGACACTTGGGCTGCTCGTACAGCAGTCGCGGATAGTAGCCTGGAGTCCGTTCCACCCAGTTCCAGAAGCGTCCCCCTCGATAGCCCAACTGCTTGCAGGCCACACCATAGTCCGCCAGAGTCCAACTGGAATTTGTTTGGATTAGTATGGATATTTGGGTAACTTCTTTGTTGCTTACTTTCTGGAATTGGAGCACACGGAACGCCAAGCACCTTTGTGGTACAGCTGCAGTCGGCCCTCGACGGGCGTGGGTCCATCCACCAGACGTATGCCCTTATCCTGATCATCGGGCAGCTCCATTTTGTAGTTTGCTGTGTTGCTCTGAGATTTCAGCACAATTCTTGCGGTGGGAGTGCCCTGTAAAAAAGAGATTTAATAGAGATTTATTTGGAGCAGATCTTTGGCAAGCTAAAGCCATAATTAGCTCTGATTTATGCCGCCCAAATTGAACTTTCTTTTGGTCATTAAACATCTACCAAAAGTAGTGAATTGGCTCATAAAATGATGAAAAATCTGTACCTGTATCCCCATTATTAACCCGCTTCTTTCGAAGCTTTTCTGTGGCTTCATTTTCCACTTCGCACGCATTTTCACTTTTGACTTTTCAGCTCTCACGTTTCGTGGCTTTTCATGCAATTATTTTCATTTTCAATTATGATGCTCTGCCTCGCCATTTGGCCTTCGTTTGCCAATGAAAATCATCTTGAACAGAAATGCTACGAGTCTCATCAATTAACACCTAAGCAGTGTCTGTGCCATGACGAAGATGTAGAAAGACAGACAGACAGTCGCCCACTCCAGCGGCGAGTAAATATTATTTAATTAAAGACAAAAAGCCAGTGAACTATTAACCCAAATGACTCACAGCTGTTTTGCATATTCCCCCAAAAGAGTGTCCAAAATTAGTTCAATATTTTACGGGAAGATCATCTCAAGAAAAGGGAGGAGCTGCCACAGAGCTAATTGAATAATTTCCCTTTGGCTTGGGCTCTATGAATTTGTCAATTATGCGACTCCGACATTCACTTAAATCTAATTAACCCCTAATGACCCCTTGACCGCTGATTAAGCGACTCTCAAAGAGCGGAAAGAAACGGAACAACATGCAAAGTGAATGCAACCGTCGCTCTTTGATGTCGGCAACGGTAATTGGAAGGAAGTTAGTCTGAACTTGGTGACCCACTTGCCACATGCCACAGTCACATCTCCATTCATTGCGCATGCTCTGACGCCCTAACCTACCACCACTCTCGTTCCATATGGAATTTGGATCCCCAGAATGGGGTATCTCCCCTCTCTCGCTCAATGTGTAAATCAGACAATCGCAATCTTATCGCTCCAACGATAAAGTCAACATTGGGAGAACTCGTAGTGGCGTTCTTGGTTGTGTGTTGTGCTGGGGCTTATCTATCATTAAGGTTACTCATTCGCCGAGCAGGTTGCTCTGATAGCAACAGGTGCCCCTCTCGCTTAATCACTCGCCAAAAAGGTGCCTACAGGTGCCTAGGGAAGTGGGTGGATAGTCGATTGGGGCAGTGCCCTGTAGGTAATTTTAGAAAATTACAGGAACAGTTGAAGTTTTGAAATTTTGTCTGTAGAAATTGTCAGAAAATCTTCTTAATCTTTCCACCATCCCATCATCCCCATAGTACCTAAGGCCAAAGGGTATTCCCCACTAATTTCTCATGTTTTATGCCAATCAAAACTTACCACCGCTTGTAGAACTCCCTTAACTTTGAGGCCCTTGGTGGGAGCAAACTCTATGGTGACGCCCGGCTCGATGGTCAGGCGTGCTCCGCGCATCACTTCGAGGTCATCGCGCGCCAGGTATGGGCTCTCGCTGCGCCGGAGAGTGCGCTCGCTGAGGATTTCGCCACCCTGCAGCTCCGTGTACGATGATGTCAGCGGGGCTGTTGTCGACAGCTGGGGCGGCGGCGGCGTCATGGTGGCGTCTGCCGAGTGCCGTGTGGCGGGTAAAAGTTGTGTGGCGCCATCGAGACTGGCGAACTCGATATCATTCTCCTGCAGCAGTTCCACATCCATGTCTGCCACTGGGGGCAACCCCTGTTGTGGCTGTGGCTGTGCCTGTTGGGCGCGACCCACTTGGCACGAGGACAATAGCAGCAGGGCCGCCAGTGGCAGCAACCTTATGTTGCCCCATTGTGGGGCAGTGGGCGGCAGGCAGTGTTTTTGTTGATTCTCTGATTTGTGACAGTGGAATGTCGTTTTATGTCGTTGCAGCTTCATTTGTGCATTGTTTTTATATCACTTTTCCTTATCGTTGAATATCGTGTCGTTGATTTCTCGCTCAATAATTTGTTGCACTTAACTTAGTTTTCACATATTTTCCATGGCAGTGGGATTTTTGTTTAAAAAGCTGAAGGGAGTAGGGGGAATATTAAGATAACATTTTAAAGGAATTTATGTTTGTGTTTTTTTTTTTGGTCATTTATGGTTAAATTTCACTGAAATGTTAAATTTTTATTATATTTTAGACACTTTATTGTTAATTTATTTGTTTTTTTTTTTTAATTTATTACACATTTTTTATTTAATTGTTTGTTTTAATTGTTTAATTGTTTATTTAATTGCTTTTCCATTGTGTTTAAAGTTTTTTCTTACGACATTTATCTTTTATGTCACACCGAAAATTTGTTTTATAATTTCATAACAATTGTAAAATGTTTTTAGTCACATTTTCAATGAAAGTTTATTTAAATTGATAGAAAATATGGTTTTAAATTAGTTAATTTTTATAATTTCGTTATAACATATAAAACATATATAAAACCGAATTTCGTTTATAACTTTCAACATTCACTCTTCTCACAACTATCAAAACTTTAATATTCATTTTACGTTAACAAAATTCGATTTCCCTGCGCTTTTTCATGCATTCTTCCATCAGTTAACACCTCACAACACTCTCTGCTGGGCTCTGTTCAACTGTTTTCCTCTCGAAGATTTCCCAACCGAAACCTGAGAATTTTGTGGCCAGGCCGTCGTCGTCTCTTGCATTGTTAACAACTCTGATAAGCCGCAAACGGAAAAACAGGGCCCGAAAATATTACCAATCCCACAAAACAACAACAGAATGACAACAAAAACGCACAACTCAAAACACAAATACCAATGCACTCCCCCATGCCCCTTCCGCCCTCACCCCGCTAACCCACTCACGCAGCTTTTGTTTGTTTCGTGTTTGGAAAAAAAACACGTCTATACGCAAAGAACCGTTAGCAGCGACTGTGACGAGCGAGCTCCAAGAGGGTTTCCATATATTATATTACGTGCATTACACACAGAGACAGAGAGAGCGAGCGACTAAGTGGGGGGACAACTGGGCAGCGAGACAGAGAAAGCAGCATGCAGAGAGAGAGCACGAAAGAGCGTGGTGGACGCCAAGCAACCGAACAAAACAACAGCATGTAAAATATTCGAAGTTGTTTGTACCTCGCTCCCTCTCCTCGCGAACGCTTTTTGTAAAATAACTGTAAATGTGTAGGCATTTCATTCATGCCAGAAAGAGAGCAACGGCACGAAGAGAGTAGCCAGAGCGAGAGCGACGCACGCACTGCAAGTTTTGTGGTTTACACTGCACGAAGAGAGTACTCAGATTTTTAGAGGGGTTTGGGAATGGAGTGAAGAAAGCGCTATTGATCAGAGTAAACAGACGGATTATCGAAGTTATCACTGAAATTAGCGATCGAATATGTAAAGTTTGTTTCTCAAATTCGGCTGAAATATTATCTGTAGAAACGATCGCCCCATTCCCATATAATACGCAAAGATCGAACTGCAAGCGTATCCAAAGCTTCGTTCTCCGCAGCTAACGGTTCTCTGTTGTTTCTGTCTGTTTTTCTCATTTCTTCTGCATCTTCTCCTTCGTCTTCTGTGTGGGGGTTACGTGTGCGTAGTAAGAAAGAAGAAAGCATTTCCACCTCTCTGACAACTCCCCCAACTCTAACAGCTCTACCCCCCCCCCCTCCACAGTGTCTTTTGGGGCAGACAGGCAACCAGCATTTTACATTTATCGAATATGCAAAGTGGCTTTGGTGGGGCACAAGCAACGTACCGGGGCCAAGCGATGCGTGTGTGGATTGTATCTTGTCTTGGATGTGACTCAACTGCCAGCGATGCAAGTCGTTGACGTTGAACGTGGCTGTTGCAGTGACTGCATTTTGAAGTGCATTCAAAAGTTTATTGTCTGCCTTTTTATGGGTTTATTAACTTTAAGTTAATGTTAAACGGGGGGCCAGGGGCTGTGGCTGGAACTGCGACTAGGCCTGCTCTTGCTGCTGATTGGTATTTTATGATGGAAATGCATTTGTTAGTAAAGTGAACATTAATATTGGAACAATGCTTTTAGAGATGGCTGGGGAACTGCTTAAACCAATTAAACATCTGCCATACATTTTACCACCCATTTCTCAACTCCAAACTAAAAACATTCTTCTAAAACCTCAAAATTCCCATAGCCCAAGTTCATTTTCCTCGATTCTAGTTCAAGCTTTCACTCCAGTGGCCAACAATTTGAAGGGGTTCTCCTGCTGTGCGGCTGCTTTTTGACCAATTTTACAGCAATTTAATTTAGTTTCCGTTCTTTCAGAGAGGTTCGGTTCAACAACCCGTTAGACCACACTTTGTGGCAACCCATTCAATTACCTAAACAATTTTATGGTAGTTTGCGGCTGATTCCTCGCCTCATCATTGTTCAATTTGCTTTCGTTTTGTATTTTTGGTTTCGCTCGCATTTGCATCTAGTACTTGTTAGTCATTTGCCGGCATCAATGAGATGAACGCTGGAGTGACTAATACAACCCACAATAGGAGTCACCTAATGCTATCTCTATCTTTATCGGCGTAGTATGTGCTCTGTCTCCCTCTTCCATTCAAGCGTTCATGATGCGACTTGATGCTTAAAATGCTGATAAGTTTGACCAGCAAGCTTTTGATACCCTGCACGTGCGGAGCATATTGTGTTGGAGAATGTGCAGTTAAAGCAAACCTGTAATCATTTTTCTGTTTCTTTCGATGTGCACAGATTGAAAAGATTAAGGTGACTTTTTAAGAAATAAAATCATATTTTTATGATTATTTTTTGAGAATTTGGTGAAAGGAAAAATAAATGCTGCTAGAGAATGCTCCTCAACTAATGGATATCTCTTTGTCGCAACACTTTTCCTCACTCAATCCACTGCCCTTAGTTTGTTTTATTATATTTATTTGTTTTTATCTAGGCGACTTTATAGCCCCACCACAGAATGCACTGAGAATATTTATCAAAGTCTTTGTCTTTGCTGCTGGTCACCTTATCTATGAGAACGTGATTGATAATGTTCCACTTCCTTTCACGTAAGCCAAATGAACTTTTAATTCCTGTAAGCAACCGAAGGGAGAGAGGCACGGGGGCAACGCGTCATCGGGTGCCCATACACAATTTCCGATGAGTAATGCATAACGGAAGTAACACAGGAACTTACAGGGGACCAACCTGTCTCTATGTAGAAAAAAGAGAGAGGGAGAGAGAGAGAGAGAGAGAGAGAGGAATGCGTTAAAGGGAGCGCAGCAAGTGCAACAAACGCGTTGCGGCTGGCTGAACGCACAGTTTGCACAGTTGAAGTTGCAGTTTATTGGCCACAGAAATTGGCATAGATGTTGTGGATCGGATGTGGCAATTAAGCACTGAACAGCAACAAAAAAGAAGCACACAAAACTCAAGAAAGCGTGCAATAAGCAGCAGCAGCAGCAGCAGCAGCAAGAAGAGGCAAAAGCAGTTGGCAGTAGACCAGAATTTGAAGTTGAAGTTGGTGGCTGGAAGCTTCCAAGCTATCTTTACACATGGCTGATCCGAGACCCACTCCACTCTGCATCTGCGCTCTAACAATCCATAGTGTTCCCCTCCGAAAAAATATCTGGAAAACCAAAAGCCAAGAACCCAATCTCTTTTGGCCAGAGAACCCGCCGCCTTGCGTTTATTTTTTTCTCCCTCTTGTATGTTTTCTTTGTGTACTCCGCGCACTGCTCTATGCCTGTGTGTGTGTGTGTGTGTGTATGTGTTTGGTAACACTTTTTGGCCAAGCCAGCACCAACACAACCTCACTTTTTGGAAGCTTTAACGCTTTTCACATGTGTGCACTGAATATTTTCTTCAATTTGTTGCAAATGCATCCAGTTTAGCCACTTTTAATTCATTATTTTTGGTTTTTATTCACAATTTCGATGAGTTTTGTGGGCTTTGGCGAACGACGCTATTCGCTTTGACGTTTAAGGCGCGGTCAGCAGCGATCTTTTGCTCACACTCACACTTACACTTGGGCACAGCTCGCGTATACGTATACGCGACAGACTAATACAATGAGAAGCACCGTTGAGATCAATATGTCCAGAGCGCACACGTCTTCTCGGCCGCGCCGTCGTACACCTTTTGAATTGGGGGCTGGCTGGGAGAGCTGTCTAGACTCCAGAGCGTCGCTGAGCACGCTGAGTCGCCGTGAGAGACGCCAGCGAAGCTTTCGTACCTACAGCCAGAGCGCAAAATGTTAATGGGCTTGAGGTTTGAGGTGAGAGAGGTTGCTGGCGTTCTGCTCTCGAGTTACCTTGGCCGAAATGTCATCAGCGGCAACCGCAGTGGCAGTAAAGTATCAGCAAGCAGCAACCAGTAACAGTCGCTGCAACAAAGCAGCTTTTAGCGGGATTCGTAACAGAGGCAGTTGTGGTACCTGTTGCTTTGTTAACATTTCTGGTGGCTTTATGTAAAATTCTAGAGCCTAGCTGGGTTCTTATGTGCAAGGCACATGGAAGGGGAAGGCGTCTTTTATGTGTTCCTACACACCCGTTAAATATAGTTTTAAGCAAAAAGTGAGCTTTTATTTAATTCGTAATAGCAGCAAATAGCGCTGCAAATACTGCCTAGACTTCTCCAATTTCTTCTTTATTATCTTTAAATTTTCCTGATTGCAACGGATTCAAGTTTTCAAATATAAAAATCGATGCCGATAACAGAATTATTTGCAGTACAGTGGCGCTTTAGCGTTTGATTTTGGCACTACATAAATTATGCGAAGTTGTTGCATACTTTCGAGCGGCAAATTGTTGTGAGGACCGTGCCTGAGGCTGATGTGGATTGTGGAGCGCATGGATGGAACGTAAACTGTTTTCAGGCTTTTAAAACTGTTTTTCGAGCAATAATAACATAACTTTCAGCAAACTCCGCTTACAAATTCTGCACTCATAAACCCCATAAAAAAAGTCTGCCGGTAACTTTAAACTTTTTTGTCTTCCAAATGTTCTCACAGTCTTGTCGCGGGGGAGAGATTTCTGCAATCAAATCACGTGCTCCTCATGGACCCCGTATGATATGATATCATCTCCGGCAGCAGAGAAACTTGGAATTATTTTATAGTTGAGCCAGAAATTGATGTCATCAGGGGCAGTGGCACGGGCACAGGCACCCATCAGATTTCCAGGAAATCCACATTGCAACTTCATTTTGGTTTTGAATGACGATGACGACAATTTACGTGGCATTTTAATTGAACTTTCTACGTGTTTGAGTGGCGTACTTGTACTTGTTTATGTGTGATGTGTGATGTGTGCTATGTGCCTCCTCCCTTGCTCTTGCCTTGCCTTGGAATCGATTCGATTCGACAGCGGAGAGTGGAGTCCAATGTTAAAGGCGTTGCCACAAAAACCGCAAACTGTCGTGTCTAGCTGGAAAGAGACGGGAAAGACCTATGCGAAAACGTGCCTGAAGTATTATTATTATTATTTTATGAAGTCTGATGTGTGGCTGCGGACTGTGATTGATGGCCTTTATGCGCGTGTACGCGTACGCTCTTGTGACTCACTTGATCTCCGAGTCCCGATAAGAAGCCCATAGAGAGGTCTCTTGTATAATAGGCAAACTTTATTTGAAATAGTTTGAATAAAATCATTTTAAATTCAAGGAAGACCATGGAATGGAATGCTATGGGATACTCTCTAAGGCTACTACAAAAAGTCCTTAAAGTCTACACTTAAATTTTAGACTAAATCTAGACAAAAATGTGCAGCTGGAATGTTGTTTTCCGCTTTTGCTTTTTGATTTTTCACTTAGCCAACTTTTACTTTCAACCATTTTTTCCCTACACACAAAATCGACGAACGATTTCGCGTACATCTTTATTTTATTCACTCATTAAGTTTAATCTTAGATGCTAAAAAGAAACATAAATTAAAGGTTGGAATTCACTCGCTTGGAAAGGAAATGTTGGCCGATTAAATCGATTACTTATCGATAGACGCTCGCACTAAAACTGAACTAAGTCGACGTATATTTAGGCTGTGGATGCTCCTACTTGGCTATAAAATGCAACAACAGTTGGCTAAGCACTATGTTTAGGCCTTAGTCTAGCGGGTTTATTGTACTAAAAATGTACTAAAAAGTGCACTTTTCTCTAAAATAGCGTTCGGGGGGTTATAGGAATGCGGTCCCCCGGGTCAATCAATCTTGTCATAGTGTACTAAAAACGATCTTCAGCGTCTCATGATATCCTCAATGCTGAAGCCCGTGCGTCTCGGAGCGGGAGGTGGTGCCACAGGAGGTGGTGGTGCCACCACGGACTGTACCGACTGCACTGCAGGTGGACCCTTCTCTGTGGCTGCGCCACTCGTCTCGGTGCTGGGGGGTTTGCCCAGCAGCTGGCGTGGCGGATGCCGCGACATGTTCAGGGCATAGATGCTCTGATTCTCCAGATACGCACGCTGATGATGCGGATGATGATGGGGATGGGCATGATGATCCATCAGATCGACCGTTGGCGGCGGCAGAATCCTCTTGCGCATGGGAATGGAGCCCAGGAAGCTGGGCATTGCCTCGTGGGGCGAGTGCAGCGGCTGATTCGGTGGCTTACTCGTCTCCGGTGGCTGCGTGATGATGGTGGGCGGTGTGGCGGGTGTTGGGACCGGTGCACCCTTGCTCAGATTGAGGCTCTTGTGGTGCAGATCCCTACGCACGTGGAGTATCGGCAGATAGGGATCTCCGTTGGGTGGCAGGAGATGCGGATGCGGCTGAAGGTGCGGTGGGGGCGGCACAACAGGTGGGGGTGCGCCTCCTGCATACCTCAGACTGGCCACAAACCCGGGCGGTGGCGGTGGTCCATTGGGTGGCAGGGATAATGGCTCCTCCTGCTGCCTCTCGCCATGTGGCCGCATGGTGTAGGTCTCTCCACCCTCGTGATGGCAGTGGGTGACACCCTGACGCTCCGGCTTCCCAGTCGCCGTAGCTGTGGCAGCAGCTGGAGCTGCTGATGATTGTCGTGGCGCCACCAGAGCCACCTCCTGCTGCACCTCATCCTCGGCCTCGAAGTCGTCGTCCTCCTCGCGCAGCTCTTCCCTGGGAAAAGTGCCTGCTGCCTCCTGCAGCTCCTCCTCCTCATCGTAGTCATCGAACTCCTCTTCGCTCTCCTCCTGATCGACGGGCGCCTTCCGCTTCAGACGCCTGCGCTCCGCCTCATCCTTCTCCCCGTTCGTTGCGGACTCGCTTAGATTGTGGACAGGACTCTGCCGTGGGGAGTCCACCTCCAGCAGGGAGTCCTCTTCATCCCCACTCAGATGACGTGCCTCGTCCTCCTCGCCGACGTCCACATAGTCCCCAGCGCTAACCTCGCCCACGGCATGGGTCAGTGCGTGTCGCCGCAGATCGCAGTTGCGGCGGAAGACCTTGCCACAGGAGGAGCACTCGTAGGGCTTGTGGTCCGTGTGGGTCAGCAGATGGGTCTTCAGATTGGAGCGCTGGTTGAAGCTCCTGCTGCACACGGGACACTTGTGCGGCGACTCCTCCATGTGCAGGATCTTGTGCACCGCCAGAGTGCGCGACTGGCAGAAGCCCTTGCCGCATTCGGTGCACTTGAATGGCTTCTCCTTGGAGTGGATGTACCTGCAGGGAACACAAGAGAAGAGAGAAGGGAAGGTGAGACATTGAGGAATGGAATGCGTGGGCGTGTGTGGCGGCTACCAAGCCCCAAGTTGGTAGCTCCATTTGACAGTTATCTCTGCTCCGCCAGACAACTGCTCTCCCACTGATATTATTGTTGGGTATTATTCTTTTTTTATGTTTATGGCCGCCATCTTGGCAATGGCGTCCACTTGTTGTTGGACATAAGCCGCCCCAGTCCCACAGTCGCTGTCCCCAGCCTCAACCTAAACCCCAGCATCAGGCACCAGGCATCAGCAGCTGCTGTTGTTGTTGCTGCTTCAGAGACCGAAAACCAAACAGGTTCTCCACGATCTCCAGATTCTTCTCGTTTCTGCTGCCTGCTGCCTGCTGCCTGGCCTCTTCTGCTTTGATGCTTGACGCGCAGCCCGAAAGAGCAGAGAGGGAATTAGCCCCGCGGCAGAAAGCAAACAAACGACAAATGGACCGATACCGAGCGATCAAAAGACAGAACGCTCCACGCTCCACGCTCCTCCGCTCCTCCGCTCGGACAGGCCGACACTTGAGGTCTCTCAGAGCTGCCTAAATCCTACACTCGCTCCCTCCCGACTCTGCGACGCTGGTCGAAAACCACAAACGGAAAACCAACAAAGTTAATTAACTTTGCTTGCTGCATGGAGATCCAGCGTCAAGTGTGGCACTCGGACAAAGATGGAGGTACACGACAGATGCTCTTTTTGGTGGCAGCTCTTTTTGGTGTTTTGCCAATTGAACTTGTAAGTTCATTTTGGAAGGGAATTTGTAGCCATTGACAATGGAATTTAGGTAACAAAACTTAGAGGAAACTTAAGCGAAACCTGTGCTAGGGATAACCCCTTAGAGTCTACACAGAAATGTTTTATAATAATCCTAAACTTAAGATCACAGAGTTCAGATCTGAAAGAGTGTATCTACTCATTCCTATCGAAGCATCTCCAACATCAGTTTCATTCTTCTGCTACCACCTTAGGGTATTCCTACATTCGAGCAGCCCCCACCACTACTGGAACCATTATTTCTGTGGGCCTGACAGCAATTACCAGTGCAGACACTCCCCCGGAGTACTCTCTGTCCCGAATCTCACCTGTGATCCCTCAAGTGATCCTGTCGCCGGAACGCCTTGCCGCAAATATCACAGGAGTAGGGTCGCTCGTCGGTGTGTGTCCGCTCGTGGATCAGCAGATTGTAGGACTTGGTGAACTGTCGATTGCAGAACTTGCAGATGAACTGCTTCTTGGGCCTCGAGGCGCGACCGGGTGCACGCAACAGGCGACGGTCCAGACCGGCATGCATGCCCGGCCCCAGGCCGGGGGGAAAGAGTCCTGCTGCGGCGGCACCCGGTGGGAAGGGAAAGCTGCCCGCACCCGTGGGCGAGGGACCGGGCCCGGTTAGATATGGCGGTGGGGGTGGCGGTGCGTACAGGACACCGGGTGGCGGACCTTGTGGACCACCCCCCGGGCCACCACGTCCCAGCATGGCAGCCGCGGCGGCGGCCTCCCTCAGGGCCAGCTCCTTCCGCTTGTCGGCCATCATGGCAATGATCTCGTAGTTGGAGTTGCTCCCGGCCCGCGCCTTGGCCTCCAGTGCCTGTCGCGTGGGCAGCACGGGCACAAAGGCGGAGATCTCGCGATGATGTGGCGGTGGACCAGGATGCAGTCCGGCCGCGGCCAGGTGCTGCTGGTAGGCCAATTGTGTTTCGTAGGCGGCTGCTGCCGCCGAGATCCTGCTGGCCGATGAGCTCCTCGAGTCGCCACCTCCACTCGAGCCATCCGAGGCGCCACCGCTGGCTGCCGCTGCTGCTGCAGCCACCGTGGACATGAACTGGTCCATGCGTGAGGCTCGTAGCATGGGTATGGCGCCCCCTCCTCCGCCGCCACCGACATCGCTGGATGAGCTTTCCGTGGGCATAATGGAGGCTTTTCACATTCCGTTAGAACTGTAAGACAGATAGAGATAGAGAGCGGAGGGTTGAGTGGTTGAGGGTGGTAAATAACAATTAGCTAAAACTTTGTGCCGTGTTAATTGACGCAAAATGGGAAGGGGAGCGGGACTGGAGCTTATCTTAATTACGTTTCAAGTGCAATAAACAGCTATTTTGCGGTGTATTTTTATGAGCCATTCATAGGGTACACACGAGCATGATAAGCACAGGGGGAATCAGAGTGGGTTTTTTTTATTTTGGGAGTATTTTATGTGTTTGGACCCAGCGTAACTCAGCTTCCGTGGTAGCCAAAGTGCTGAAATTTGTTATTGGTGTGTCATTATGGCTAAGAAAACAAATTGGATATGTTTTGCTCGGATATCGCTTGAAATAGAGTGACCATCCTCAAGTAACTCAGCTGCTGTAAGATTGAGATTGCTCAAATGTTGTATCATGATTTCTTGGATGATAAAACATCGATTTATGTATATTCGTCTTGCACATGCGCAAATGTGTGCTTACTAGCCGAAAGTAACTTGACTTCTGGTGTAACTATAATCCTTAAATTGGGTTCTTTATCTTCCTTATTGAATATAAATTATAATTAGTTCCTCACCCACTCGTATCCTTCAAGTATTCCACCTTCTATTCTTCTCTTCTATGGCCTACACTGCTTTAAAATATATTATCTGCGTATATCTGGTTTCCTTGATTATTCACAAAAATCATAAAGGTCTATCCCTTATCATATCCCATTGTAACTCTGGTTTTATACGTTCTAAGATCTTCAAATTTGTTTTTTGCACTTCTTATCACGCTATAAACTGAATCTTATCCATATATCATGAGATTTTGTATCTTTAATGGCACACACTTGATCCGTCTGACACTTTATTTCCGCCTGATTCACATTCAAGAAGCATTACCCATATGCTGGCACAACTTTTGTTTTTATCACAGGGTATGTAAATATTTCATCACATTCGCGTTACGCGTGGGCTGTTGTACTTGGATTTTAGTTGTTGTTATTTCTTACGAATTTTGTTGAAGTTAAATTATTATCAGGAACGGCAGGCAGGCAGGCAGCGGCGACGGCAACGTCGACGGCGAGTGAAACTAAACTGAAAACGAGTCGCAGTTGTCGGTGCTGCTGGCAGGTTAGATAAGATTGTGCGTCTAAAAAAACCTGACTACTACCTCCAAAGAGGAGACCCAGCAGCAGCACAGCACAGTAGTAATGATATAAACACACACACACACACACACACCCACCCAGTGAGAGTGAGCGAGAGAGAGAGGCACACAGCCACAGAGATAGAAAAACTGTAGTCGAGTCGCGGCCCAAGTTGCCCGTGCCCGTGCCCGTGCCCGTGCCGTCCGCTTTGCTTTGGTAAATGACTCCGAACCCACCACCTCGACCGACTGCTTACTGGATTTACGCAACAGGAGCGACTTCTGAGTGCCGAGCCGCAGCGGCAGCGGCAGCGGCATCAGCAGCAGAGGAGCAGCGAAAGAGGAGAAAGAGGAGTAGAAGAGTGGAGCAGCAGCAGCTGGCGGCGGCAGAGGGAGCACTGGGAAACGTGATCATCACGATAATAACAAAATAATAATGCAGATAATGATGATCATAATGATGGCTGAACCATAAAATTTGTTGCCCGTTTTATAACCCCTCTCCGCCCAACCACTACATCAGACTCTTGGGGATTTTATGCTCTTATGGGAAGGGTATATCGTTTTGTATTGGATCGCATAAGTTGATCATACAGCAAAAAAAAAGTAATTAAACTCCAGTAGCTATAACTCGAAATACTTATTAATGCTGATGGTTTGCATTAAGAAATTGTATAAACCTTATTCCCTAGGGTATTTAAATATTCGCTACCCAAAACTTACTCTTCGCTTCTTGTCTATGCCGTTTTGTTGAAGCCTCATTTAAATATAAAACCAGTTGCGCAAAAGCACAGCGAATAACTCTTCTACTTGGACTATCCAACGTCTCCCAGGTCTCTGTGTGCAATGACAGTTTTGCTTATCATTTTGCCAGAATCATTCTCTGTCTGGCAAAGTGAATCGTAATGCCCAATGCTGCAGCGTCATGATCACCAACATCCATCCAAACCTCAACCCAAAGCATAGCTCAGGTAACCTCCATCCACAGTGATTGTCAGAGTTTGGGCTGCTCCACAGATTAGATTTCTTAGAGCGTAGGCTCCCCCCACAGCTTTGGATCTCTTGGGACTGTTGAAGAGGCGCCCCATTGTTGGAGTTACCGTTTCTGTTAGGCGGTGACTAGCCATGGAAATCTTTTCTTATTTTTGGAAATGATTTTTGGCATTGTCAGACTGACTGGCTGACTGGCTGACTGGCTGACTGAAGAGTGCGCTGTCAGATTAGCTCCATAAAGTAGTTGACATCATGACTGGGATAAGTCAGCTCTTATTATGGTAAATGGCTTTATCAGAAGTGACTGCTGGAGCCAGATATTGGGAGCAGGGGAGTGGCTAAGCAGGGAATTTGGGTGGTTTATGGGAATAACTAGAATGCATTTATGGGAAGATCAGGGAACTTTTTATCTGACTAACATTCAATCGTAATATTGGAAAACTATCTCTTTTATCTCTATGCAATCCCCGCTATCATTAGCACATGCCCAACTAATCCCAACTGGTTAAAGTGATTAATTAACGAATTCATTTATTGTTTGATTAATGGAACCCATAGCCAATATTCTCTTTTATATCTGCCTAGATTGAATTTCATAAAAAAAACTTATCTGATCTCTTTATTATCCAATAAATCCCCCACACACACACACCACACACACCACACACACACAAAATGCTGATCTAATCAGCGAGAACTCCTCCTCCCCCCCTACCAGAGATGAGCGATTGCCCATCATATCTCTGGGCAGGGCAGGGCAGGGCGATAATCTCACGTAGCATTTTCTGGTAGCCTACTCGAAACCCTCGAAAATGTGTAACCCGTTTTGGGGTTTTGTACTTTATATTTTTTTCTAGGTATCTCACTTTTGCATTTATGACTGTCGTCTGACCGATACTTCCCCTTCCCCATCCCCTGCCCCCACCCCCTCTGTGAGTGTGTCTACATACAATGTATGTACGATTTCCAGGCGTTCATTATCTTTTTGAAACATCGGCACTTTTGAAAAAACGTCAAGCCAAATAAGAAAAACAAATAAAGTTAATGTAAATAATGGACATCATCAGCAAAAGCGACGGCACGTAGTGCGAGTACAGCAAAGGGAGACAGAGAGAGAGAGAGAGAGAGAGTTACAGATACATCCATAGCTCTGGGTCTGGGTCTGGGTCTGGGCCCAGAAACGTTTGCGCAAACGGTTGCGTTGCCCACCAAATGAAGCCAAAGGCTTAAATATTGTATCTTTTGTGTGTGAGAGTATCTGAGGGTATGGACGGTACGCGGGCATATGCACACATATAATAAAAACCCGCCAGAAGACCCAACTACTGCTGGAGGAAAATAAAAGATATCGAGGAGCAATTTGGCTGCCACTTTTTTTCCCTCTTTCTTGCTGTTGGTGGTGGTGCTGCTGCTGCTGCTGCTGCCACTGCTGCTGCCTCACTCTGTGTCTGGTCTCTGGGTCCGGGATCGCGTCGTTTGCTGGGTTTTTGTGTAAACACACATCTGAGGCCAGGCCAGAGCTCGAGCCAGGGCCCAGTGGAAAGGTTTCTTCTTGGTTGCGTTGATAAAAAAAAAGCAGACAAATATACAAACAAACACCAACACACACGCAGGCTCGGGCACACATGGACACTGCGCAAACGGATTTGATGTTTGTATAGAAAACCCAGAAACAGAGACAGAGACAGAGAGAGAGAGTGTGTGAGGAGGAGGGTCAGAGGAGTGCTGGTGGCAGCAGAGTAGACGCTAAGTTTTGTCCCTCGAATGATGATGATGATCTACCATCTACCCTACCCAACGATGGTTGGTACGGCAATGTCCATGCGTTGAAAGGGTATATTCGGTTAGGCATAAGGAAGAATATCTATGAAAATGCTGTCAAAGCTAAAGCCTTCAACTTGTCAATCATTTGCTCATTATCGTTCACTGAACATTTAGTCATAAAATGTCGGAAACATATTCCAAAGGCGCTGGTGTGAGTACAACAAAAATCTCCTTAAATAATCATAAATATCCTTTGCTTGCAGTTTGATCTGTGCGCCAGTCAGTATGCGCCAAATGGTCGTCTGCTGCAGCTGGAATATGCCGCCAGAGCTGCTGACAATAGTGGCACTGTCATAGGCATTTGTGGCAAGGATTCTGTTCTTCTAGCCGTTGAGAACTTAAACATAAACAAACTATTTGAAAAGGATGCTAATCAGCGCATTTTTAATATTGATGGCAACATGGGCATGGCCGTCGGTGGGCTGCTGGGCGACTGCAGCATCTTGGTGGATCGCGCCCGCCTGGAGGCCGCGAGCTATCGGCAAAAGTATGAGCGAGGCATTACCCTGGAGTTGCTCTGCGAGCGCGTGGACAGCTTTCTGCATGCCTACACTCTGTACAGCGCCGTTCGTCCCTTTGCACTTAGCATTATGATGGCAAGTTGGGATAACAAAAATGGACCGAGACTCTACAAAATTGAGCCATCAGGCACCACCACGGGACACTTTTGTTGCTCCTTTGGCAAGGGCTCAGAGCAGGCTCGGAGCGAAATGGAGAAGTTTGAGTTTAAAGATTTGCCTACGGATCAGCTGGTCAAAGCGGCTGCTGAAATGTGTGTTACCTTTTGTCTCTTATGACTCAAATATTGATGGCTCTTTTGTACTTTTCAGAATTCACGGCGTCCATGATGAACGCGCTGACAAAAACTTTCGCTTGGATGTGGGCATAGTCGGTAGTCAAACCAAAGGAAAATTTGAATACAGACTAATACAGCAGTAAGCAAGGAAAGCAATGACAGCAGATGTGCGCTGCTGCATTACACGAAATATTTACACACTAAAATCTGCAGCTATCTTGAACGTTGCGTGTTTTCCCCACATATTTCCCCACAAATATTTCCCCTAAATGGCGCAAACGTAACTCTGTTCAACTGCTAATTCAACTTTATGTTCTGCTAAAACGCAACTTTAACATCCTCATAAGTTATAACCATAAAAAGCTGCCAGGAATAACGCTAAAATAAATTTGTATTAGCTTTAACAATCATCTGCGAAGAGTGGCGATTGTTTTCCTATTCTTAACTTGGGTTCAAACGGGTGTTAACTTTGACAATGACATGAGAAAAGTGGCTAGAGAGATATTCTATCAAGTATTCATTTCATTTCGTGTGCAGCTTTCTTCACGATCAGCATGCAGGGTATCCCTGTAGTTCAGCCGAATATCTTCTGGATTGAGAGAGCTCTGAGTATATGCACTTTAGTTTGCTTACAAAATACCAACGCCATGCAACAACAACAACAACAACAACAACAAACAACGACAGACAACCCATGAATAAGAAGGGACGGACCAGGGCAGGGGAAGTGGTCGGGGAAGAAAAGGGTCACGAAGGAATGCTCTTGGGCAAGCATTTTTTAATCCCTTCGGGATACGTTTTTCCCTCTGTGTGTGTGTCGAGGTAGCTAATAATCAAGAAAACGAAACGAACCAAAAAGATACAAAAAGCAGAGAGAGAGAGGAGAGCACGGGGGCAGGGGCAGCGCGGCAGACTTATAATTATAGTCGAAGAAGAGAGACGAGAGACCTGCACTTCGCATGCGTTAATCTGGAAACCCTTTCGGCCAGAAGGCTGCTGCTGGAGGATGGTGGGCATGGGATGGGGAATGCTCTGGCATCACAGATTATAGTCAAAGCTATTAAAAATCTAGCATAATCATTGCCTTGTGCACAGGTCCCAGCAGCAGCTCCAGCAGCAGCTCCAGCAGCAGGGAGATGGAAAAACAAGTTACTGCCTCCGATCTCTGCTGTTGTTTTTCTGAGGCGCTCTGCGCACTGCCACTGCCACTGCTGCCTCCGATCTGCTTGGTTTTCTGAGCCCACTGCCTTGTCTATATAATTTTCTTGATTAATATCCATAAGATTTACACATTTGGAGTGCTTTCCCCTCCCCAAACCCAACTGCTCTGCGGCTCTATGTGTGCGCTGGCCATTAATTTAAGAGCTTTGCTAATTTCGCGGCCATGTTTTGTGGCTGCCTGCCCGATGGGTGCGGAAAAAGTGGGGCCAGAAAATGGACAACTGCTAATGAAGTTTTATGGGTTCGGGAACGCAGCTGCAGTCTGCGTTTACAAGGATTGATACTGTTGTTAGTCGAAATTGAAAATGCTTTAAAGTTATGACATCAGCTTTGTTATTCTTAAAAGCAAAGATGGTTCCAGCCAAGAGCTATTTACAGATACTCCAACATTTATTTATAGTTTTAATTCCAATTGATTGGTTCTTACTGTCAACGCGCTGCCAACTGATCCACACTTGACTTAAGTCTGACTTCGAGAAGTTGTCTAAGCCGACACCCATTTTCCGTAATCTACTTTGCTGTTTGCTAAGCGGATCTCTTCATAAATTTCCTTTGGCTGTATTGTGCTGCTCTTTTCACTCGAACTCGAAATCCATTCAAACAATTTCACCCATCAATAGAGTTCTTAAGATTCTTTTGTGCAGCGGATTGCCACTTTTTCCAGACACTCTTTTGTCTGGCGATTTCTATGAGAGGATATTCCGATTTATTTAATGAAATTTATGTTAATAATTTCAGGCAACGTTTAGACTTAAGATGTAACCAAGAGATACATATTTTTCCTGCCAAATGAAATGCCCAAAAATGATCTTGAATAATCAATCTTGTGGCCCTAGCTAAAACCTGTAACTATTCATATTCCCACGAGACAGCATTTAATTTGCTGCTCAGAGTTTACGACTGTCCTCCAAGCAGCAGAACGTCGAATAAATTGAATCGATCAAGTGAATTATAGACACGTGCCACAGCCGAGGCGTGTCTGCCGTGTCTCCTCTTTCCGAATATGGCAAAAAAAAAACCAAACGATCAATTGAGTGGCCATTGTTCCATTCGCTTTATGGATCTGACTGTTTTTTTAATCACGATTTTTTAACGTCTTTTAATTAATTTAGATTTTCCTGCCAAAAGGCAATTAAGCAGATTCCCCCCCTACTGAAGCAGCAGCAGTCGTTGCAACCGAAGATCGAAATGAAAGAAAAACCCACCCAAAGAGGTAAAATGCAATAAAATGTTATGGTTCGGTCCATTCTTATGCTAAAAATCTGTTTTGGACACACACCAAATGGCCCATAAACCAGACACAATGAACATTCAAAATAGATCTCCTCCACTGAAGCGAAACAAAAGCCAATAACTTTATAGAACCGCAAGCCAGCAACAAGAAAACCTTAACAAAAAAAAAAGTTAAAAAAAAACCAGACTGTGAGAGCGCGGGAGGCGTTTTACTACAAGAAAAAGAGAAAATATAAAAAAGGAGGAAAACCGAAGATGGAAAAAAAAACTAAAGCATTTAAAAGAAATCAAGAGATGTAGATGACGATGATGATGATGATGATCGGGGTCCGAAACTGAAGCAAAGATGAAGCCACAGCTGGGGCTGGGAATGAATCTGAAGCCGCTGTTGGGGCTGGGAGTCTGAATCTGTAGCGGAGGCTGGAGCCACAGACCAAATCCGAATCTGAATCTGAAGCGAGCCGTACCCAACAGAAGCTTGCGGCAATTGCGTTTCCTCTTTGGACACACGTTCTGAACAATTAAAGCGCGCGGCAAACTGAAACTGAAGCCAGGGCTGGGGATGGATGGCAGGGCAGAGCAGAGGAAGCCAAGACCGCGACCACGAACAAAACCAAAACCAAAAAAACAACAACAACAACAACCAAGCCCAAACCAGTGAGAGATGGCTATAGCTCTGTATATTCGGACTATCAGATACCCGCTAATGGGAGGTATTTTGGTAGATATCTGTTAAGATATTTGGAATGTATTGGGCAAATGATCATAAGGTCTCTTTGGATACCAATAACTTTATTATTTAACCAATTTTTAATGAAAGTAATTTATTTGGTACATTTTAAAATGTTTTATGTTGCATAGATCCACACAAACACAGCATACCCTTGCAGCCTACGAGTAACAAAAGGTATGAAAACCGGATCCGAAACGAGCACGATGGAACACGGAGAGGAAGAGAGAGGAAGAGAGAGAGAGAGAGAGCCACTGGCCACTGGCACTGGCTACAAGTGAACTGGTTTACAGAGCAGTGGAAAAAAAAACAAGCAAAGAATTCCAAGCGAAGGTTTTTTCGAGTCCGGGCCAGGCCCGAACGCGAGTCAGAGCCCGAGCCCGAGCCCGGTCCAAAGACAGGGCCCAGAGCCGGGTGAGCGCCACAGACAGCGGCGCTGTCAATGGGGGAAACGTTGGGGCTGTGGCTGGGGCAGAGCGCTGTTGCTGCTGCTGCTGCTGCTGCTGCTGCTGCTGTGGCACCACACTGAGTTCGGTGGCAATGACAGTGGCACATGCAGTTGTAGTGGAAGCCGCTGCGGCAGACGGTCGACAGTTGCCTCCAACGTTGTCTCTCTCTCTCTCTCTCTCTGTCTGTCTGTCTGTCTCTTTGGGAGCAGGTTTTCTCTCTCGCTATTTACTCGCTGGTTTGAGCACTCGCTGACTTTTGGTTTTGGCCAACGCAAAACACACAAAAATAAAACAGAAAATAATTAGCTAGCCCTAAGAAACAGCTAAGAAAAACAACCAAAAAAAACACAACTACTAAGGAATTTCAGTGTTCATATTAGTGGGCAGGGCCTGTCGTCTGGGCTGGTACTCCGTCTTACCTTTTGGTGGAAGAAAGCCTCAGGCTCTACAAGCTTTCAAATGCTGCTGGCTCCGATGATGATGATTATGATGCTGGCGGTTGGTGGTTGAGCTCCCAAGTATCCGAAGTAGTTTGAACAAGTTTTTTTGTGGGTTTTTTTATGGTATTTCTTGTTAGTTTTTAAGCTCTAAAATGCTTGGCATTGTTTTATGATTGGCGAAGAAATTTTAGCAATGAACTTCCGTACAGAACTAGATTTAGTTTCAGGAAATTTATTTTGGGTGTTTATTTTTGTGGCGTTTTAGTTCACTTCAATGGGAATTTGGTTTGCATTTCCACAGAATTTTCTATAATATAAAAGATAGTAGATATTATTAACAAATGATATCTTTGTGGTTTTTCGTTAAACATTTCTATGCCAAAGCTAACACACGCACGCACGAACACGTCTCGAAACACGCACACAAATGCTGGGCTTTCTTGAGATACAAATCACGGCACGATCACGGTCCCCCAGCACCCCAAAGGGAAAGACGCGGGCGGTGGGTGTGAGTGGGGGGAGGGCAGTCAGGGGGTGTTACGGGAGCAGCAGCATCAACGGCAGTCAGCTACCACAAAACCACGTAGATGGGGCCGACTGGCGGCGACCGAAACCACGTACAACACACACACACACAGACAGATACAAAAGTATCTTTCGTATCCACGAAAACCCGAACCGAACGAACCCCACAGCGATCGCGACGAAATGTACCGAACCGAACTCGAAACGAACACAACCAGACCGAAAGATACACGGCAGCTGAAATGTGTTTTTCTACATTTTGTTTGAAATAGGAGCTGAAGCCAGTGCAGCTACCAATTCGCTCCTCAAGTAGTCCCCAAACTCTTCCCACACACAACGCGAGCGAGAGAGGAGCGGCAGAGCTGCGAGGAGCCGAGCGCAGCGGCAACAGTTGCAGTTGAAAAGCGCTTTTCTCTGTGCAACAAGTTCACTCAGCCACGCAACACACTCACACACACACAAGAAGAGAGAAAAAGATGGATAGATATGGAGAGAGAGAGAGAGAAAAAGACATACAAAATGCAGTTCACTTTTTTCGGTGGAACACGTATCCGCGCGCAGGTGCTTTAACCACGATCAACAGTCGAAGAATGAGCCACAAAAAACTAGCTACGAGGGCTCGAAACACGTTCAGAGAGAGAGAGAGAGAGAGAGAGAGAGTAACTCTCAGAGAGATACAGAGAGAACTGTATCTGTGTTTACTCTCCACACACAGAAATCCAACGAGTAGGGAGAGGACCGATCGATAGCCGCGGTAGTAGCTATGAGAAAAACCAGTAAGAAGCAAAAATCCCAAACCGTCCGCCAGTCGTACGCTGCTGGACGGACACTTGGACAGAGCGGGCGGACAGATATTACGGAGCGTGGAACGTGCATACGTACGACGAGTTATTGTCAGTTAGAGCGCTACCAGTTTACCGTCCGACGACTACCGACTACCGACAGCCTTCTTATTTTCATTTTTTTTCTGCTCGTTGGAGGGTGCGACGGAGGGTAGCATGGAGACTGACTGGTGGTGCACCGACCGAGTGTTGCCAGATTGCTTTGGCTTCATGGTCGTAAGAGGCAGGGGCAGTGTAGGGGTTCGGTTCCGGCCACTGGAGAGGGTGTAATTCGGGTAGTCCTCTCCGTTTATTGTTCACTCATTTGAAGGGGCAGTTTTTTTGTTGTTTCTTTATAGACGTGTGATGTGTGATTATGGCTGGGGGAATGACTAATCGGAATTTATTTTGGCCCAAAAAGGAAGATAAGGCTTCCTTCCTTGCACAAAAGAGGGTTGTAAAGCAATGATTCACTTCCAACAAGGTGTATTTATGAATATTTATTGAAGATTACCTGAAGTACTGGTGAATGGAGGGGTTTGGTTTCCTTCCAGACTCTATAATCATTTGATATTTTCCGAGAGCATCAAGAGTACAATCGAAGGTAATCTGGGGAAGGGTTTTATATAACTTATTTATACGATGTCTGAACTTAATTTGCGAAAAGTTCAAAAATAAAAATTCCATCAAGTGTTTGGCTGTGGACTGATGATTGCTGAAACAGATTAAGAACCTTATCCTCTTTTTGTAGATTATCCTACCTATGATAGGATTTATTATATCCCATCTAACTGTTTTTGCGTACAACAATCTGGCAACGTCTTGTGCAACCTCTCATCTCTCGAGGCAACAGCATCAATGCGGTCAAGTGGTAAAAGGAAAGAAGGAAACAAAAGACCCAAAAAGCAGTCAGGGTCTTCGTTGGCATTGCTTCTGAGGTGAGCTGCTGGCCGGCTTCAGTTTGTGGTCCAAAAATACAGAGGGAGTATGTGCGTCCGAAAAGAGAGGGAGTAACGTTCGTCATGATCACGATAATGATGATGATGGTGATGGTGATGATTGCCAGAGCACACCGAAAAGAAAAACCCGAAAAACAGAGAGACAAAGGTAGAAGCAGAGGTGGAGGTAGAAGCAGCGGCTGCTGTGCCTGTAATTAAGGCAGTGCACAGCGCACAGTGGAACTAAATTGTTTTTGTTGCTGCTGCTCGAGAAATAGCAAAACAGTAAACGGTGAACCAAAGCAGCAGCAGCAAAAGTAACAGCAGAAGCAATAACAACAGCGGCAGCAGCAGCAGTCGAAAGAAGAAGTAGTTAAAGAAGGGGAAGAGAAGAGAAAACGGTAGCCGCCTCATAGGGCGAGCGAATTGTTATGCTAGTCGTTGACTTCCCCCATCAGCAACTGTTGCTGCTGCCGTTGTGTGCCTGCTGCTGCTGCTTTGATACCCAGTATCTGTATGTAGATTAGAAGGGTATATATGAAGTGAAGCGATGTATGCTTATAGCAGGAAGAAGCAAGACGCATTCGACGGAAACTATGTTTGAACATAGCAACTAAGTATTATTGACCCAATAAGCTAATGCTAGAATCCATATCTGCTGATGCGCAAATAAAGATGGGGACAATATTAAGTACAATGAAATCTACAGGGTATCCCACAATGATGTCTCCATTGCATTGCTTTGGTTCCTCTACTTTGCGCTGTGTGCATATTTTGCATCGCTTTACGATTTTAAAATAAATTACTTGAAAATTGTGTAAAACATGTGGCCAACTGGGTGTCTGTCTGTCTGCCTGTCTGTCTGTTTGGCTGTGCTGTGGGGAAAGAGTGCTAGAGTGTGGGGGCCGGCAACAGGTTCATTGATCGCATTTGAAATGCTTCGTTGGCTCGACATTAGTGAAAGGTAGGAGGCAGGCCGGCAGGTAGGAGCACGGCACAAGATCGTTTTGGGTTGGGCCCTGGGATCGCATCGAATCGAATGGGGGGCTGGGAATGGGATCGTTGAGCCTAATTAATGATATTTAGGTGCATTTCCAATCCCCTGGCGGCTGTCAGCAGTACACGCATTTGTCATTTGTTCTTGGTATATTCTTTATTTAATAATTAAAGCTCTTATTTAGTTTTCTTTTTGCTTCATTTCTGTTTGGTTGTTGTCTTTGGTTGTTTTTTGTTTTTGTTTTCAACATAAAATGGCTGTCTCTGCTTGTATATTTTGTATGTGTTGTATATAATATAATATAATCATAATGCATACATTTATTATCGTGGAAATCTCTATTTAAAATATACAAAATATATATTGTATTTATTTTGTTTGGTTACTAAAAATGAAGCTTTTTCACTCATACGAACACTGAACCCAAAAAAAGGGAAATCAGCATTTTAAAGATCATATCTTTAAATGACAAAGTAACTACTGGATTCTGAATGCATTTAATATACATATTCTATACAATTATTATTTGTTCTACAATGAATTAGTATGCGTGATGTGTGGCTTGTGGAAATGTCTCTGTCGTCCTAAAAAACCTCAACTTATCAAAAAAACAAAGTCAAAGCTTATACAAAATCTTTATCATAATATTTGAGCGTGTCTAACTAAGCAATATTTCATTTGAATCTTTTTTGGGGAAGGGAATATGGGAAAGCATAGGAAATCATTGTGTATTCGATTTGTAACAATAACTATTTTCCATTATACTTATTTGAAATTTCGCATTAATTTGCATTTGTCGTAATTTCGAATTTTTTGGTCTCTAGTTTACGCTTTTTCTGTAAATAGACATTTATCTAAACTTTGAGCCTTTGAATACCTAAACATTTTCAATTTTCTATACGAATTCCTATATACATTAGACAATCAATTTTGGTCTGCTGTATGATCATTTTCTCTCATTTCTCGGGGCTAAATATACTATAATATTTATGTATATGTGTATGACATGACAACCTCACTAAACATAAGTATTTTTATGTGTATATAGATATATTATATTTGTTGTAAGAATACACACCAAAAATTCAATTGTATTCATTTATGTTCAAAATAGTTTTAAACCCGCTTTGAATGACCGACTAAATTCCTTGGACTAAGCAATCATCTATCGACTATAACTAATTGTGTTTGTTCCTTGGCTTACACCCTATGTAAATGTATGTATTTATGTATGTAATGTAATGTAATGTAATGTAATGTAGTACCCGTACTAGTGTCGAACAATGTTTGAAAATCGTTTTATGTTTTTTGTTTGGTTTTTCTATCAATTTAATCCATGAAGTAGCTAAAACTGCGACGCTTTCGACGGCTGCCCAAGACCGATCTGGAGCGCGTTTTTAACCTTAGTTACCCGGACTTAATCCAGCGATCAATGGAGTACTCCAAGGCGGATATCCAGCTGAAAGGAACACACACAATAATTACACAATAGATATAGGGATTATCTCCAGAGCTGTTACCGCTTCTTGTCCATTTCGCTTTCAGTGCAAAAATAATAGTGACGCAATTTCGTTTCTGGTGGTATTATCTCGAATGAATTCTTCTTGCCGGACGCATTTGTGGACATTGAGGCCACCTTATAGCCGTGCAAGCAGGCCATTCCTAAAGAAATTCAATTAATTGTCTGGCTGTCCGTGTATCGTGCTGTTGTTGACTCACCGAATGCACTCTTGCTATTTGCATCTTGGTAAAAATAGAGGCAGGCATCCTTAAGTACACAATAGCGTTTCGACCAGCCGCACCACCTTGAGCCCAATTTCAGCAAATAGCCAAAGCAATCGGGCCGCTGAATGCTGGTCGGAGCCTGGTACAAGCACCGCGCACTGTGAGGGGAAAATGATGTGAGAAACGAGCCCAGCCTCAAAGATCAGTAACCCACACACCTCTTGTCCAGCCACTGATTATCCTGGGCGGCAGCCTGGCGCAGCAAATTCAGCCATCTGTTGGCCAAGTCATCCGAGTCGGCGGCCACGTACATGGGTATGCCCTCGCCAGCATCCACTTTGAAGGCAAAAGGCTTGCCAATGTCCACGGGGCACAGATCCACAGTGTGCTTGGCCATGATCATGGCACCAACGGGCTGGGAGTCCTGCAAAAACATCCATTATGAAATGTTCCAACAAACTCTGCCAGGGATCGCACTTACATCTTCTGTTTTGTAGTAATACAGACAATTATCTGGCCGCAGGGAGAACCAACGTCTCACCCATTTCTTGGCATTGGGCGCCCCCTTGGCCTGTCCGCTCTGGCGCCACAAATAACCACTGAAGATGGGCTCGCTGGGTGGCTCCAGCTGCTCGTGCATTAGCACTCCAATGGTGCGGGCCACCTGTAGCTCCAGTTTCTCGCAGCCATCGTGGGCAATCTTCACGACCTCTGTGTGATGTTTGTCCAGCACCTGGATGCCATTTACCGATATGATAATGTCGCCCACCTCCAGGCCAGAGCTCTCCGCTGGCGTCTCCGGCTCGATGGCGGCCACCACGACAGGCTTTGAGCCGTGGATGCGGAAACCGAATTCACCCGAATCGCTCTTCACCACAACGGTTTTGTCCACGCCTGCGTGAGAGGAGAGGAATAAATATAATCAAGAGAATTTATATAAAGCGAAAGAGATTTGTTTGATTTGTGTGATTTTATTTCCGGAATATATATTCCGTTCACTATTTACCACTCGTGCCGTTGCTTAGCTTTGATATCACAAAACTTTCACGTGCCCATACCAAAAGCATTAGCTTTAAGACCTCCTCCAACTTGCGACGCACGGAATCCGGCGTGGAATTAGACGCTATTAATTCTGTGACACAAACGAAAACAAAAAGGCTTAAACAACCATGCGCATGGCGCCGCTGCTCCACTGTTTACCCACCAATCATTGGAACTAAGATTTTGTGTAAATATCGAATTTGGCCTTGGTAATAGTCTCTCACAATTTTTCGCACTTTTATTTCACATTTGGGCAGCGTTTTTACGGTCGGCACACAACAAAGCACGCACCACAACTAGCCACAAAAAACTACTACGAGTGTGTAGTTTATTTTTTACGGGTTCGCTCTAATGGTGCTGCAGCATATGTTTATCTGTCTGTCTCTATGCCAAGTGCCGGTCATGAAAATTCGGAGCGCCATCGACCGACCGACCGACCATTCATTATCTATGAACAGTTCTCCCGCTCCGGCCAGTGGCTCGCCTCTCTCGCAGCGCGCACGTTGTGCCAAAATTAGAATATTGTTTGGTTGTGCACAGAAAAGGGTGTCCGAAGTGTGAGTACCAAACAGGGTGTCTCAAGATTAAAGCAACAAAGTGCAGCGAAGAGTGTGGGAGAGTAAACGGCACAGCCACAGCTCGCAAATAACTGTAAACAAATGCGAATCGAGTCTCTCTTGGCTCATTTCGTTTTGCGCTCAAGCACAGACCGATTCTTGCGCTTCTCTTTTGTAGCTGTTCTTCATTGAGCGTGCGCAGCTCGCTCTCCCATTGCAGTCGTTAATGTAACGGTTTCTCCCTGGTATTTTGTTTACTTTTGTTTCACTTACGGAAATTATTATTCTTCTGGCGATGATACATCTCCAGCGTGCAGCGACGTTGAACCAGACGATGGAGTATCACCTGGTACTTGGCATGGAAACCCTTCTCGGACTCTGTGGAGGCGCGGCGCTCACGCGAACGATCTGTGGAAGAGAACAACTTAGCATCCACAGCTAAAGTTCATTTAGGATTTCCTCTCACCGAAACACTGATGGTCCAGCTGCGTCCACAGATCATCATCCGTGAGCCGGGTGTATCTGCCTTCGTCGTAGTGGCCCTTGTAGATGATATGCTGGTTCGGTTCCGTGCCGATGTCGGGCAGCACGCAGGGACTGGAGCCAGCGGGACGTAGCACAGGGGTGTTGGGCAAACTGGGCGCTCGGCCACGCTCCTCGCTCTTGGCTCTGATGTTCTCCTGGCGTGTCTTGTAGTGCCTGCCCCGCTCCCCGGCGTGATAGCGCTCCTCGGAGCGGAATCGCTTGTCCATTTTCTTGTACAGCCGCTGAGTGGTCTTCGTGGTCACGGGGGAGTCGGCAAAGTCCGACGGCGGCTTCACAATGTCCGCCTCCTGCTCGATGTAGGGTATGGACTCCACGGAGTCTCCCACCAGCTCCTGCTGCTTGCCCTCCATCTCCTTGCCACAGTGGTGGCAGTGGCCCTGATCCGCGGCCTCGCTGTAGAAAACCGAATCGGAGCCGGGCGACACCGAGCGCAGGGACTCGATGGATTTGGCCTTCAGCTGGCCCGTCGCCTCCGAAGCGGACTTGGAGTGAGTGCTTCTGACTGTGGGCAGTTTCGGCGATAGCAGAGATGTGGGCGTGGCACAGCTGTGTGGCTGTGGCTGTGGCTGTGGCTGAGGCTTCTTCACCTGCTCGAGGTCCTGCTGCAGCTCCTTCTCCTGTGGCGGCGGTGGCGCCACTCCAATGACTGTGGTGGTGGTGGTTTCCGTCGTTATGGCTGCTGTCGTGGGCACAATGCTCGGCCTCGGGCTGGGACCCACTGTGGTGGTCATGCTGCCATCCAGCAGCAACTCCGTATCCCCACTGGCGCTGCTCAGTCCATAGATGGTGGGTCGAGTCCTGCGAGCCGCTGCCGCTGCCAGCACATCCTCCCTGGAGCTCTTGCGCAGCTGTCGCCGTATCTTGGGACGGAAACGTTTGATCTTGCTGGGACTTCCATTCTCCAGTGCGCCAGCACTGTGCTGCTCCGGGGACTGCAGCGACTGCTTCCCCGCCAGGGACTTCTTGATGGGACTGGTGAGGGCGCGCATGTTCTCCTTCTCAATGTCCAGCTTCATGCTGGTCTTGCGCCGCTTGTTATCCTCGTGTCTGAGGCGGCGAGCCTTGCAGGTGGTGGTGACCTGCTCCTCGTCGTCCTCTTCGTGTGGACTCTCGTAGTAGCCGGAGGAGGAGTAACGCACCTCACTGCGCTCATCCTCGGATATGGATTCGGGTTTGGGTTTCCCCACAGCCGCAGACTCAGCCGCTGCATCTGTTACCTTGATTTGCTGGCTAGCAGAGCTGGCCATCGACTGTGCTTGGGGTTGGGGTTGGGGTTGGGGTTGGGACTGCATCTCCTTAGCTGGCGATTTGATAACCTGACAACTGCCCGAGGATGTGGTGCTGCTGATCGAATGCGAGGGCGACTTTCTGGTCAACTCTGCCACCGAGCCACCCATGGGGGACTTGAGCGACGACTGCGACACTCTCAGTTGCTTCTCCTTCTCAGACGAACCATCGTGCAGCAGATCCTCCCGCATGGAGTACAGCGAGCTGGCACTCTCGAAGGAGCTGCCCGCATGGGTCTTATCCAGCTGCGAGCTCTGAGTGGAGACTGTCGAGAGAAAAGGGCAAAGAAGAAATTTAACAAAACTTCTGGCAGATATTTTGTAAGGTTTTTCACAGCTAAAAGCATTGCGAGCAAGGCAACAGGCAACAACAACAAACTAGCGAGACAGAGAAAACGAGATTTAGAGAGATTTAGAGAGAGAGAGAGAGAGAGCTAATAGGCTGTTTAACACTACAACTAGTTCTAAGGATCTGTAAGCTGTGAAAGCGGTGATTTGGTGGGTGGGTCACAAAATATGATTGGATTTCACTTTCTGCTGAACGGAACAAGGCTGCACACAACATTGATGATGGTTACAGGACATTCACACACACACAGAGAATACTTTTGAGTGTCTCTCCCAAACCTGGCACTTGTGTCGCGGACGATGAACTGGTCGTTGTCGGCGGTGTCTTAATACCTGGTGTACGCTTCGAGTTATCCGTGCAGGTGGCATACTCCTCTGTATTCGTGCTGCACTCGGAGATGTCCGCACTTCGAGCATAGTCCGGCACAGCCATGGGCAGAAATGAGGCATCCGAGTGTCTGCAAGGGGAGTAGAATTTGGTAAACGAAAGAAGGATTCAAATCCTGCTTCTGCTCCACCTTTGTTTCCCTGCTGGTCCACTTGGATACATGAGCTGGCGCGCATCTGGCACGGAACTCCTGGGCATCATGGCCCGCAGCTTGAGCAGCGGCGAGGCAGAGTCCATGCTGGATGGGGTTACGGCAATGGCTGGAGGCGGCACCAGCGGCAGCGTGGAGGAGGCAGGCCTGGAAGTGGTTGGCGTTGGCGTCTTGATGATCTTTGGCAGTGTCTGTAGGCCATAGGTGGGGCTCTAAAAGATAAAAGGGAAGATCAGCAACCACTCCCAAAGCAGCTCTCCCACGTCCCACCTGCTCCTCAAAATCCAAGGCATCCGTGTCCACGGAACTCCTCTGCTGATGCTGCAGCAGCAGGTTCTTGCGCTTCGATGAGGGCGTCAGCAGCAGATTGGAGCTGTAGGAGCCATCGGAGATGTGCTGCTCGGCGGTCAGCACGGTCACCTGCGACTCATTCCAAATGCCATCGGAGTGGTCGCGTGTCGTGTCGTTGGCCAGCGAGTCTGAGGATGGATAAGTTGAGACATTGGCCAGCAGCAGCTCCTCGCGGCAGGGACTGGCCGGCGTGGAGGGCAGACGTAGACCAGGTCCAGGTGCTGGAAAGATGCCTGCGGCAGCGGCAGCGGCAGCGGCATAATCATCATCCAGGCTGACGGAACGCTTGCGGAATTGCGAACGCTTGTCCTGAATGTCCTCGAGGATGAGTGGTGGCGGTGGTGCTGCTGGTGGCTCCACCTTGCAGCCACAGGGGATTATGTTCTCATAGATGGGATCCTCATCCTCGGGGTGTTCGTTCTCTGTGCGATTCCGCTCCGATTCGGCTTCCTCCTCGTCATCCTCCTCGGGGTCCTGCTCCTGTTCATCGTCCTCCTCCTCGTCCTCGTCCTCGTCCGCGTCGCTGGGCACAAGCTCAACTTTTCTAGCCTCAACCTCGACTGACTTCAGCTTCGGGAGCGTCAAAGCAGCGGCCTGGGCCATTCGCTGCTGCTGCATCTTCCGCATGGCAATCTCCGCCTTGTGCTGCTTCCGATGCTTCAGCTGCAGCTTGGGACTGGGCTTCGGGGACACGTGCGGCTTAAAGTCAATGAAAATCTCCTGCTCATCGCGTCGCAGCCCGCCGCCTGCGTGCGGCTCATCCGGGAAGCAGCTGACCTTGTCGCGCCGTCGGAAGGATGTGCGCGGCCCAAAGCCATCGATGAGCTTCTCCGTCTGGCCATAGACCGGCATGGACTGGCGCCGCAGATCGTCCCTGCGGAACGGGGAGTCCATCATCTGCGGCAGCATGGACATGCGCCGCGCCGCCTGCTCCATGCACAGCTCCGAGCTGTAGCTCTCCGTTTCGTGTGGATGCGAGGGACCGTCCTCCTCCTCCTCCTCCTCCTCCTCATCGTCGTAGTACTCCTCCACATCCTCCGGCTCGTCGTCGTTCTTGCAGTACTCACTGGGCGGTGGCAGCAAGTGCGGACGCGTAAAGTCCAGTTCCACAACCTCCGTCAAATGTCCGTGCAGGGTATCCGCTCGTCGGGGCAAACTGTTCGAGTAAAAATCCGCCTCGGGGCGCGTGCGTCGCGGCAAGCTGTTGCTCTCGTAGTCGAAGCTCTCGTTGAGCGCCACAGCTGCGGCATTTACATTCACATACTCCACATTCTGTTCCGCCGCAGAGGGACGTCCTGCCCGGCTCAAGTGCTCCATGCCCAGGCCATAGCTGTGGGGGTCGAGGAGCGGCGGCGGTGGCTTGTAGTACATAATATTGTTCTGGGCATCCGAGAGGGTTTGCAGCGGCGTCACATCCTGCGATTGGGTGCGGTAGATCATTTCATGTGGGTAGATTATGCTGCGAAAAGATCAAAGATCCACTAGATCAAAGTACTTGGAAGGAGTGTCTCTGCCTTACCCCTGTGGATAAGGCTGCGCCTGCGCATCCCTGCCATTGGGTATCTCCGAGAGGCTCTTTGTCAACTTCTTGCCATTCTGCAGGCCATTGGTTTGTGCTCCCTGGGAGACCACCTTGATGCGATGTGGCGGCCTGGGACTCAGTGACAGAACTTGGGTGCTGTACCCAGCCTGCCGGCGCGCCGCCGCCTCCGTTTGTGTGGCCTGAGTTTTCATCGCATTGCGAAACTTTTTCTCCACAATCAGAACCTCCGGACTGAGCGGTGGCAGTGGCAGCGGCAGCGGCAGCGGCTGTGGTATGATGAGGCCCAGCATGTTGTCTAGCGGAAGAGTAAAGCGTTCAATAATAATCATCATGGACTGACTTGATGGCAGCTTACCCCCCAATGGCTGATGCAGATGAATGGGCGCATGATGATGCTGACATGTCTGCAGTTGCACGGGCGGTGGCAGCCACGTTTTGGGCAGCGTGGAGCTCTGTGCAGCGGGCTGCAGTGTCTCGTACATGGAGCCAGAGGCTATGATGGGCTTCTTGCCACCAATCAAACGCTCCTGACTGCTGGCCGACTTCAAGCGGCCCGAGGAGCGAAATCCCGCATTGACATTATCGAAGCTGGTCAGCGTGTGCGAGCGAGCAAAGCTCACGTGTTTGGTTCTGCAGGAGAAAGTTGAAGGATTAAAAAGGATTTATCTGTGGGTAGATCCATGGGTTACCTTCCCGCTGCCTGCTGCTGCTGCTGCTGCTGCTGCTGCTGATGATGGTGTGCGTGTGGCATCGTGGCATATGTGGGGCAGTGATACGAGCTGTGGAGTAAGTAAATCACACACAAAGAACTATCAGCACAACTTTCCCCATTTGCTGCTTGCTCGTGGGACTATTATTTACATTCAGTTTTTTATATTCAACTTTAGTTTTCAACTATGTTTTGCTCTCTTTTTTTACTCATTTGCATTTCGATCACGTGCAGACACAGAACATAAAATGAAAACATTTTTAGCGCACTTTTTTTAATGTTTCTTTTTGGTTTTTGCTCTTTTTTTCTTTGTCGTTTCTTTAGCTATTTTTTAATTTAAGTATTTAGTTTTTGTTAGTTTTAGGATCACTTTACATACCAAACATTTAGATTAGCGATTTGATTGGTGTGTGATGTTGGTGGTGTAGGATTTGGTGGAGCGCAAAGCTCGACATAATAATTCCGTAGCAAAACATCCTGGTAAAAGGATTCAAGTGGTGCTGTACAACAAGTTGCCCTTTACACATTTTGTTACATCATTTTTTGTTTTTTTTTAGTATTTGTGGGTTTGAATTTTGTTTATTTTTTACAGTCGTTTTTTTTTTGGTTTTTCGATTGATTTTTGGATAGAGAAGGGATAGGTGAATGAATAACGAAAGAGTATACGAAAAAAGGTATTTTTTATACAGCATTTCTAGTTCTCAGGTTTCGGGCAGAAGTTATTGAATATTTGTTGTTGTTGTTGTTGTTGTTTTTTGGGAAGCAAAAAGCGAGCGGCGAGCAAAATGGAAAGTGAAATTTGTGATTGGAAAGGGGAAAGGGGAAAGCGCTGAAGGTGTTTGATTCTCTTTTGGGGGCAAGCATTGGCAAGCGATAGTCAGTTACGATATTTACGAGGGTTACAGTACAGCTATGGTAGAGAGCTACGAGTCTACGGATAGTGCGAGACAGTTTGAAAGCATGATCTAGCGAGACAGTTGGTGGCATAGCAGTTTTAACAGTTTTTCGATTTTTCGATTTTAATTTACTTTTGTTTATGTTTTCTGTTCAGTTATCAGCGTATCGGAGCACATACCTATGATTCGTTTGGTACTCGGAGTTGTTGTTGCTTTGCTGCTGCTGCTGCTGCTGTCCTATCCAGGTGTATCTGCCACCCAGATCCGGCTCACTCGACTTGCCCGTGCTCAGAATCGAGGCTGGCTGTCGTCGAAAATAGGAACTATCCAATTCGTGTGTGTCCGTATAGTTGTTTTGATATCTAATCAAAGGAATTTGAATACTTTTCGTATTATTTGTTTAGTTCTACTCACCGTGGATACTTCTCGAAGGGCGCGTAGGCTGCCAAATTCTCATCGGAGGGCACACGACGGCCCACACAGCCGCCCAAAAAGCTGCCCGACTGCGTCTGTCCGCGTCGCGAAAGGCAACCAAAGAAGCGTTCTCGTCGCGGACGCTGCTCAATGCTGTGCAGCTGTCGATCTGTGAGGCAATACTGTAAGGGAATATATATTTTAGGAATATATATTTACAAATAATAGTTAGATCTTATTGCTTGCCTGTTCCCTGATATCCCCGCGCGAGTAGACGCTGGCTCGTGGTTGTAGCTCGGTGGAAAGCGTGTGACGTAGTCGTCTTCGGCCTGTGTTTTCATCTTCGGAGTCATAGCTGCGATCCATGTGGCTGGAGTAGGTGGCCTGCGATGGTTACAGCAAGTTTTAATCACTCATTTTCGAGAGAAAAGTATCGAGAGTGATTTCTTGGCATATTTCTGGCCTTTCTTTTTAACTTAATTTGATTGTGTTCTGCTCCTTGTTCATTCTTTTCAGTCATTCCCCAGCCTTAACTCTTTCGCTCCACCCTTTTGCTACCCGTTCATTAACTGATATTGATCACAGTTCTATTCCCACAAAGACTTCTCCACTATAATCTCTTTGAATGACTCCACTGCCCTTCCAAGTGCCTCAGTTCCTTTCTGCCCCCAGTTATCTTTCAAATGTTTTCCTTGATTCCCGAAGTAAGATTTCCATCGAAATAATTGTGTCAATCATCCGCAAATGGCAGTGGCACTGGCAGTGACACTGACAGCAGCTCCCCCTGCCTCTAGCCAATTGCCACTTGTGATTTAACCACTCTGCAAATTAATTGACTGCGTGTGGCACAGGTTACGTACCTTGGCGGAGACCTCAATGTTGCCCAATGACACAGCATGGTGGAGGCCTGCAAATGAAATGAAATTTCTCAGAGAGAAGTACATAAAACATGGCGTAAACACACACATAAAATATGTGATTAGGTGCCATGTTTTAGTGGCGAACTCAAGGACTTACCAGTGCCGCTGCGAGGACCTGCGACTGTGCCAGTGCCAGTGCCAGTCGTTGATGCTGTGCCCGTGCCACGCAAGGCAATATCCATTTTCAGCGAAACAAACACAAGTCAAAGAAATACAATAAAAGAAAAGAAAAGAAAAGCAAAAGGAAAAGCGAAACAAGGGCAGGCACACACACACACACACACACACACACACACGGAGAGAGCGTAGAGATAAATGTGGAAATCTATGTGGAGATGTGTGCAAAATCTTCTTCGTTGTTGTTGTTTCTGCTGTTATTTCTGAGGCAGTTTCTGCTCCTCCTGCAACATCATCTTCTGAGGCATCTTCGCAGCATTCCTGAGCATCGTGGCATCAATATTGATGATTAAAATGAAAACTTAATTGCTACAAGTTCTGCGCTTCGTTCGTTGTCTTCGACTTGAATGGTTTCATTTGAGTTGTTATCCTTTTGGATGCTTCCTTCTGCTGCTGCCTTTTGTACACTAAGCTCCCCTGTGGACTTATGCAAGGCAGTCCTCGTCCTCGTCAGCAATCGATATTCGCGTTGGCTGCCCAAAAAAAAAAAAAAGGGGGAACCGTGGCGAAAAAGCACCGACAAGAATTTAGACTCCGTTTTCCGGTAGATTTTCCTTCACTGCTGCTGCTGCTGCTGCTGCTGCTGTCTTTTCCTTGCACCAAAAAGTGCGTTTTGCTTGTTCCTTTTTTGGGTTTAAATGTTGCTTATATCTTGAGCTATTTCCACATCGTAGTCCTTTGCTTTCAAAGGTTTTTCCTGTCTATGTGTGTGTGTGGTGCGCTGCGTGTGGCTTTAGGTAACCCCCGACAGACGACACAGCGTTACGGAATGGCAAGTTGTATCCAAAAAACACGCTCCGTGCGCCGCGGCGTTGATGCTGGAACTGAAACGAAATGTGCGGCTGGGCACTCGCAGGATAACGTCTCCCATACGCGACGCACACGAGAGTAGGAGCGTGTGCGAGAGAGAGTGTCCGGAGAGAGTTCAGAGTCGCAAAGAGCGAGAGAGAGAGAGACTCCTGCTGGAAGCGCGGCAAACATTAAACAGATGTTCGGCATCCGTGGGGTGCGTGGCAGCAGCGACTGCAAAAGCGCAACAATGGACTTGTCTTTGCTCTAGGGCGGGTGGGGGGTGGGGGGTTCATGTTGTATCCGGACGCCTGGAAGTAGGCAACAGAGCGTGCGTGTGCGCATGACAGCGCAGCAGCGACGTCAGCAGAGCAGCAGCAATTGAAACAGCAGTGGCAGCATGACAGCTTCAGCCAACTAAGCGCGGCACGTACCAGTACCCAGTACCCAGTACCCAGCAGCATCTCCCAGCAGCCAGCCAGCGGCTAAATTTCACTTAGAACGCGTGTTGGACGCCTCCACCAAAGTTGACTTCACACGACGGCGGGCCCTGCAGCTTTAAGCGGCACAACAACATCTCACACACACACACACACACACACTCCCTTCCACTTGTCTTTTTTCTGTACTCCCTGCGAAGCCTCCCTAGTTTCGGGGAAGCTTTAATCGAAGCTTTTATGCCCTTGCCTTGCGGAAGAATTTAATTGGTTTTCGTGTGTCTGTGGGGGGGCAGGGCCGCAGCTCGGCATTAGAGGAGTAGTTAGGTTAATTTGCTTGAGATATCTGCCACAAATGAAAGAACAAAGCCACACAGAAGCCGCCCCAGGAACGGAAGTAAAACGCCGCTGCAGCTGGAAGCATTTTCAGCCACAAAAATAAAAGCAAACATTTCGTGTGGCATACTTTTAGGGGTCGAAATAATATTTTTTTTGCTGCTGCCGGGGAAGGCAATCATTGTGCACCATGGCTGCCCCGTGTAGTGTTATTACCAGTAGTTGCCATACAATTTTAAAAGATTTAGCATTTGGGCTAAGGGCAAGATAATGGCCGAGAATGTGGGCCACAAAGGTGCTAAATGGGCTGAAGGACTCTTTTGGAGATTCTTAATGAATAGTTGGGGATTAGTGGTTGGATTTTGTGTCTTAGGAGAGGCTTAGGCGGCTAAACACTTGGATAAGCTTTCTAATATAAATAAATCATAGTTTGCAGACGATTTTAGTATACATTTTCGATCTAGATTTCAGCCATAAAAGACTCAACGCACAGTCGAAAAAAGCATCGCATAAAAAGCCAATAAATTTGCATTATTTCCAAGACTTTTGTGGCTGTAAAAAGGTAAACAATGGCAAAGGGGAAGACCTCAGTTTACTCAACAAAGAGTTGCTTGGCGCTCTCTCTCTTTTTGCAATAAAATTATGTACTTATGAATGATGGCCCAAGACCCAAGACAATGGCTAGCCGGCATGCAAGCGCAGAGTAAATCATAATTTGCAAACCTTTTGCTTGGGGGCTGAGTCAACAAGCTGAGGCAGGGATCACGATCCCTTGAGCTATGGCAATCTCTAATCAGTTATATAGCCAAAATGCCCCGAACGTTGCCCTAAACATTTCCCCATATACGGCAAACCATATACGAGCAGATGACAATAGTTTCCGTATCCGTATCCGTTTCGGGCGCCGCAGCGTGTGTGTTTGCTTAACCAAAATCCACCCCCAGCCCAGGGTGTGTGTGGGTGTGTCTGTGCTTCTGGGTAAAATAAACCATATCTATGTTTGTGCCACGTTCTGTGTGGCATGCATATGTATGAGAATAGCATCTATGAGACGCGTGTGTTCGGCTGTGTAAGCTTGCAGCAAATTGTCTTATGGCTTTTCGGCCGTAGCTGCCTCTGTGAAATTTCTCGCCCGTCGAGCCGCTTACTACGCAAATATTCCGAGGCTTAAATGTGCTCTGCTATGGCGGCAGCCCAAGTCAATATCAAGCATACGCACTGTGCGCTGTGTCTGTTTCTGTGGCATAATGCATGAAAAATTGAGCATGTCATTGACGTTGTGTGGAATTGTGCTCTGTGTCGATTGTGCGGTTGTTTACAGTCTAGGCACGTACCATAATGGGTAGCTTGGGGCTGTGTGTACACACAATATATGCAACATTAAGAGGAGGTCTTGACTTTGGCGAGCGGCTAGGGTAAACTTTTTAATCGGCCCCGGCTTTACAGTGCCACAGAGGGTGGTCAGAGGGGGGGCCCCCTTTTTGGGGCATGTTGTGGCAACACACACAAATTGACGCTTCATGTTAATGCCATTAATTAATAAATGAAATATGACATTGGCAGTGCTGTTGAACTTGTTTATTAAATTTTAGCACGTAATAAATGAAAACTTTACTGTGGCCACTGGCAAGCGTCCATTGTCCTTTGGCCACGTCGTTTGGGGTTAAAACTGTTCGTCCTGGGGCTGTCGCTTAATGTCACGACCCTAATTGAATGGAATTGAATATAGTTGTGGGGCTTGGGCTTAAGTTTCCATTTAGTTGCTTTCCTTTATTAACATTTATCACACTAAACTACTAATGATAAAGAGTTACAAAGTTTTCTTGAGTTTCTTGCTTAGGTTTTGCGCCAGAAAAAATCCCATATCTAAATCTTGGCACAGATAAAAATTGTTTTAGCTACAAGTTGTACCTTCAAATTGGTTAGTTTTTCAGTTATCAGTTTCCGTTTTTTTCTTGTTTTAATGTACGTTCATTTGATGCAAATTTTCATTGGTTTTTCCTCTCTCTTTTTCGCATCGAACACAAATGGCAAACATTTATGTGGGAGTATTTAGGGTTTTTTCTTAGTGGAAAGTTTATATCTAATTTTAATGACCTTGAAAGAGTGGAAAAATGTGTTCGTAGGAGTTTAGTTTGGCTTCGATATCATAATATAAGTAAATGTTCTCCTGCTGGCAGTTTATTTGCTTCGTTTTCATCGAGTTTTGTGTGAGAAATTTAGATGGCAGTGTTTGAGGCGTACATTTTCCTTGGGCTCTTTCCCATTTATGGGAATCCCTCAATTTCGTTTGGTTTTTGCATGACTTTTAGGATTTCTATTCATTTATTTTACATATTGTTTTTATGCAAACATTTTCACTTGCCTTTTTTGCATTAGATTTGTATCTTTTATTGTTTCCAAAAACAATATGCAACAATCATCCACCGCTGACACTTTGATGTTGTTTTCCTTTTTGATATTTTGCTGTTTGTTTGCCGTTTCATTGGGCTTTTGTCAAGTATTTTATAAAATATTCTGTTTATGTTTGTTCAAGCTGCAGCAGCTGCAGCGGCTGTTAAACGATGCGCTTGTCCCACTATTCACAGCGGGTCAACAAGTATCTATGGGAAATCCTGTCGCCCAGCATGACAAAGTGCACAAAAATTCGCTGAATAGCAACAAAAGAGTCACGAGAATGGCCTTATGTATACGATGGGAGATTTCGATTGAATACATTTTCTAGGCAGCGACTTTCTGTCGGTGTAAAACGCATCGTGAAACAGCAGCTCTTTGCCCTTTGCCATTTGGCATTTTCACTTTGGTCTTTTCGTTTAAATGTTTTCATGCCATCGTTTAACTGTTGCACGAAACCTTTCCACTGTTTTTCCACTAATTATATGTACACCTCGAGTCCGCATTTCTAGTTTTAGTTTTAATTTAGCTGCCACTTTTTGTTGTTGAATTTCTAATTGTTTGCCAAATGGCTTTCTCTTATACTAATTTCACTTGTGTTTGTTTTTGTTGTTGCTACAATTTGTATGCCAATATTGGCTGCCATTGTTGTAGGCAATTTATGGTGGATTAACGCTCGGTTCCTGTGATAATTTGCAGCTTCAATTAATTATGTTTATCATAATGGTAATCATTGTTATTTTATATGCCTCGTTTGGGTATCGGTTTCGCTGCAGTTTCGCCTCGTTTGAGTTCCGAAAATAAGGCTCATTTCACTCAATCAGCGTGGCAAAAGTAATTTTCATTTTCATTGAGTTACGGTCTCTCTGTGTCTCTCTCTCTCTCTCTCTTTCTCTGTGTCTTTTGCTTAATTATGTATATTGTGTATACATTCATGTATATATTATTGAAAAATAAAGTACTTTTGCTGTCACGACAATCAGCACACGGCACTTGGCACTTGGCACTTCCCAATGGATCGCCGCTGGTGCCTGCTGGGTCCCGCCTCAGGGGAGACATCTGTAATGTGTGTCGACCTTACATATTCATATATGTATTCATGTATTCAGTATATATAGATTGGTAATCGGTATTCGGTGGTTAAATTGTATGCACGTTTATAAAATGGACCATTTAAGAAGTTTCTTTTGTTTTATAGCGTTCGTTTTTCGTTTCGATTGGAGCCGATTTTACCCATTTTGAAGTGCCTCATAAATATTTATGTTACTTTTGCCATCATTTCAATACTTTTGTTCTTCTTTCTGTTTTCTTTTTTCTGTTCTTTCCATTTATTATTATTATTTTTAGCTTGAGACACCCGATAAAGCTTTCTTTCGTCTGTCTGTAATCTCCATAATATATTCATATGCTAATGAGTACAAATTTTCATCCTAGCTTAATGAATGTGCTGTGAGTGCTCTTTCTTTGTTTAAGGTGTTGGCAGGGGGGGATTGGCAGTGGGTTTTTCAGCATTTTCCACATTCCGTTAGTGCTCCCTGGAGCTGGGAGCTTGGCGTGTATGTTTACATTTCTAATAGAGCTACGACAAAAGACTAGAAGAGATCTGACCAAAATTCTGAATTCGATTCACGTAACATGCAAGTGTGTTCGTGTGTGTGTGTGTGTGTGTGTGTGTGGGTTGGACTACTATAATAGCAAAATATAAGTTTTATAGGACCCAATTGGGGGTTCTACATTCTACATTCTACACCGAGGTGGTGATTTGCTCCACAAACTGCACGGCTCCGGGTCGACAAAGAGACTGAGAACGCTTCAGACGGCATTGTGGATTGTTTCGCATTGTCTGGCAGGCACC